AATGATCATGAACAATCAATTTACTCAGTGATCAGCCAAAGTTTTGCGATTGAATTCATGAAAAAAAATGCACATCATTTCTTATTGGCACTTGAACTCTTATGCAACTCATCATATTACCAGTAACATATCCATGTTCTCCACAATACAACATCAACATTGCATTGGAACATGGGCAACATAACAATGACATATGAACACAACCACAACGTTCTTGATGTTGAAAATGTTCATGTTTAACTTCTCAACGATAAAGTTCAAAGCATGCCGCAAGATTTATATTCGCCAACTATATGCAAGAATATGTTTTCCTTTGGAGCATTGCAAATTATAATCATAGCTTGAATTCCTTAGTGAAGGCAATTTTATCCGCAACATGTTCATTTGTGAGTTCATAGCTTATGCACTTTGAGAGTATTGTCAATACTTATATAAATTACAAAGAGATATCATCACAAATGTGGAACTCAATATGATTACATTGGAGAAGCCGAACTTTGACATAAAAGATTCGGTCACATCAATCATGACGGTCTTCATTAAATGATTGTTTCGCACATTGTTCTTAGACTTTCCAACCTTCATGTTTACTACATATAATGCACAAGTTATTTTTGAGATAAGTAGGTTATGACATATATTCCAAAATAGTTCATCAGTCGCGCTTCTATATTACTGAAATTAATACACTCAAATCTTTATGGGGTGTTTTGCATACTGTTGTTAGAAAGTGCACAATATTTTATTGCTTTTAGTGAAAATTATTCAAGTTTTTTGGATTTGATTCATGTTTTGCAAGAATGATTCATGTTTCGCAAGGACTATGACTTTGACAAGTTTAAGCAATTTCATCGTGAAGTTGAAGCTCAAATACAAACATCATCATTATCTTATGTTGCGCACATACAATGGCAAAAAGTTTACTTCTTGGATGTCTGAAGCATAGTGTTGTGATCATGACATCAAAGGTCACTTGACAATTCCTTATACTCCACAGCAAAATGTTGTTGACAGACGACGCAATTGCTTTTTGTTGGACATTATGCATTATCTTTTGCTTGACAAAAATAAATCCAAATATCTTTGGGTTGAAGCGATACAAGTTACTTGTGAAATTCTCAACATTTGTAGCTCCAAACATACCCATGAAGCCACACTCACCCAGTTTATCTCCAGCACAAAACCATACATCTTTCATCTTCAAGTTGTTGGGAGTACAATCTTCATTCATCAACATCGTCTCTACCAAGAAAAGCTTGATTCACAGTCAATTGAATGTATCATAGTCATCTTTAACAGTCCTCCATAATGCTACTGTTGCTATGAGCATGAGCCCGGTTAAGTTATTGTTTTCAATGACGTGCAGATTTTTGAATCAAAGTTCGTTATCGATTCAAACTTTTTGCTTCTTTTCTCAGTAACAACATCAACTATTCACACTTCAATCGCAATTGATAACATGCAAATACTTGAATCTTCACAACTTGAAATATTGGTCACTAGATTCAAACTCCTTGCTTCTTTTCTCAATTACAGCATCAAGTTGTCAAACTGCAGTTTTGAGTGTTCAGCTATCTATAATAACACAACTGGAATTATAAGATACTCACGAATCTATACCACCACAACATGAGCAAATCATAAAAGACATGCTAATATTTCCTAAGTGATGGTCTTGTTGAATTATCAATAATATCACTGATAACTTACCAACTTTTATGTCATTTTGATCCCACAATTTCATTAGCAAGAACACTGTCATGATCTTAACAATGCTTTGAAACCGTTGTCATTTTTGGAATATCCGCTACAATATTGCAACAATCTTTGCTCAATGAACATTAAATTTCTTAATGGCAATCAATTTTTTGATAGCATGTTTGACAACAACTCTCTAATTGTGTCACATTGTTCTCCTCAAGCAAGTGATGATACATCACTCCTGTTTACTTCGCCTTGACAATTTAGACGGTCTTGTCAAGTACACCGACATCATTATTGATGTCAAAGCCAATGCCAATACTGGTTTGTTACTTGACGGATTACAATAACTTGCAACTCCATGACATTTGCAATGACACAAATTAGATTGCAGCCATGGAAGCAGAATAGTCATTGATTTTTTGCAATGACATATAGGATTTCATGACTCTTCTACCTGGCTAGTGTGCAATCATTGCTCGTTGGATCTACAAACTCAAGCCCGGTTTTTCCAATAACCACCGCGACACAAAGCAAGACTAGTTGCTGATGGATTTTAACAACAATATGTCATTGATTACATTGATATTTTTGCTTCTGTTGTAAAATTTGCATTATCTCTCCATTTGCTTCCCATCAAAACTGGTCCATATGTCATATTGATATCCATATCGCTTTCTCAAAAGCCAAAGAGAAAGTGTACATGCAATAACCTCTTGGTTTCATCTCTCCAAGACGCAAGCATAAGATTTGCAAGTTGAAGCAAGCTCTTTATGATCTATGTAACAGCCCACGAGCATGGTATCATTGCATCGATGTTCCAAGCCACAACTTTAACAGGGTCAAACTATTTCAAACGTCTATCTTTTTCAAAACCAATGTGATATAATCTTAGTCTAATTTTACAAAACCAAGGTGATATAGTCTTGGTGATCTTGTATGTAAAGTAATCTATATCATAGGCAATTCATCCACAATTCATTCATAATCTTGCTGACGCGTTCATGGAGGAGTTCATCACGACCAATCTAGTTTCAATCTTCAAGTACTTAGTTGTTCACGATGTACACATTTGTGAAGAATTATTATTGCATCAAGTTCTATATGTGCTATACATATTAGCCAAGTTTTTCTATGATGACTGCTGTCCAAGCTTCATACCACTTAAGGAAGTCATCTAGCTTCACTGAAACATGCACATCTGCCGTCCAAGCTTCATACCACTTAAGGAAGTCATCTAGCTTCACCGAAACATGCACACCTTCTATTGATGTCATTGTATACTAACAGCTTGTAGGCAACCTGCTGTATCTCACAAGCACAAGATCCTACATTGGCTACGCCACAAATCTGGCTAGTCGCTATGCAAGAGACTAAAGAGCTACATCTGATAGTCGTCAATGCTATTCTACTCTACATTAAGCGTTAGCATTTTTTTTTGGCATTTTTCACTTCAATGAGAAGGAAGAAAACCTACATGAGTACTCTAACGCCAACTATGCAACATATTTAGATGACTGCATTTCCACAAGTGCTTATATCTTCATGCTTGGTTCATCAATGTCTTGGAATTTCAAGACTCAAAGTTTAACAGCTCAATCCAACTATAATTCTGACTACCGAGCTTTAAGTCTTCTAAAAATGATCTTAAATGTAGAAGACTTAGAGCTCTAGCGATTAAAGCTACATTGGATGCGGAGATAAATTGATGAAAGCAAATGCTCTTCTAGCACTTCTAATGTTTAGATAGGTAGAAAGTCTTATAAATGTAAAATAGATTTTGTATACATCCATGATTAGGGTAGAACTAGTACAACAATGGCTTAGTCTTTAACAAGAGGCGAAATCATATGCTTGCTCAATCTTGTTCATTCAATATAATATCTCTATTTCCCTATTAACAGGTTTTTGTCAGGAAATGCTTAAACATATGAAGCAGTTGAAAATCTTCAGAAGTAAATGTACATCTAGAACAGAGTTGAGTATATGGTATTAGACCTTAGCAAGATTTCCTTCACAGTCGAACTCATATAGCAAAATAAAAATGCGACAACATGGATGCGACAACATGGACTTTTTATTTGCTATGTCGAACTCAACAATGGTATAGCGTCAATAAAGTGATTTCAAGGTTTCGTTTGTCAAGTATAGTCCGATTTTCATCTTTGAGGTCTCATTGGCTTCTTTATTTAGAGAAAGTTGAAGAAAACTTTTTCTGATGTAGATAAACTTTGATTTGCATCTTCCAAAGTCTGCAACAGCAAACTTATCCAGTTTGAGGGTTTAGGATTTGGCTGTAGTTGTAATCGATCCCACTCAAATCTTACTTCCTTTGCTTAGTCTATGACTATTTCTAATACTTTTATAATTTGCCGAATAATATAATGTTATTGTTTGAGAAAAAATACAAGAGCTCCTAATACAATGCAAACAAAGGTGTAACATGATTGTAGCTGCAAATATCCGACATCAACAAAGTGGGAAATCTGAGTAACTTAAACTTGATTCGATTCCGCAGAAAGCTCTAATACGAGCTCCTCATTCAACAATCATTGGAAATCTGGGTCCCTCCAATCCAGCAACATAAATGGAAGTTCGATACATTGGATAAGAACACAACATTTCGATTCATAACTTAACGATCTCACACAATATTCGAGTCATTTTCTCTACTGCTACAGTGGGCTGGATTCACTTATAACTTCGATTCATATTTTAACGATCTCACACAATATTCGAGTCATTTTCTCTACTGCTACAGTGGGCTGGATTCACTTATAACTTCGATTCATATTTTAACGATCTCACACAAACTCAAAGATATTTTTCTACAGCCAGACATTTGTTCGATCTCCATACACAACTTTTTTCAAAGGAAATTTAACTCTTCAAGACTGGAGCATACCGATCCTTGCCACACACTAGAACGAAAAATCCATATGCCTAATGCCTGGGCCACGGAGATAATCAATCTTACTCATGGCAACAAGAGAATATTCAGAAAGTAGAATCCAAAGGCCCAAACTTACGAAAACTTGGTCCTTGTTGTGGTTTCATAGGTCCATTATTCAGTCGCTCACTCACATTCTATCGTCTTTCCCTTTTCATGTTGCCATCGGATTCATTTCATTCATGACCTTTTTAACTTGCAGTGAGGGTCGAAGAGAGACACGTAGCGTTGACTAGAGGTCCAACCTGAAATTCTCTAGCGGGAACGCAACTGGTAACCGTTTTGCAAAAAGAAAGAGCGCCAAAATGGACGGACCATCGGACAATGTTCCCAGCAAATTGAACCCTGCCCGCGATAAAGCGCACGAGACTCGACTGCCAACTTGGTCGGCAATCGAGCAGCGCAGCGGAGCGGGAGCGCGAGGGTAGCCAAGCCAAGCCAAGCTCAAGACAGCAAGAAGAAGAAGAAGAAGGACAAGAAAGGAAGAGCAGAAGAGATTAAGAAGAAGAAGAAGAAGAGGAGGGAGAGGGAGAAGCCAAGCGAGGGAGTGGCAGTGGAGCTTGCCTGCTAATGTAGTGGCCCGTACGAGGATACGAGTCCAGAATACGAGGATTTATCGACCGAATCGACCGAACTGAGTCAGCGAGGTGAACAATTGTCGTGTGGGAGAGCTGTGAGCGCGGGAGACCTCCTTTGGCGCGATGGGGCGATCGAGGGGGCCTCTTGCTGCCGCGACTGACGATGACGGTGGATGGTTCGGCCATCGGTACGGACCCGCACCTGAAGTAGTGGAAATGAAATTGACTCTCACAAGTGCCGGTTGACCACATTTGTTCTCAGTCGAAATTCGCTCGCTGTTGTTTAGGGTTTGTGGTAAATGAAACCGAAGTGATAATTACGGTGGAAGGAGGCTTTGTCATGGTTGTGCTGAGCATCACAATGTGACGGAATCATATTACACAACTGGACTGATAATAGTGATAAATAAGGAAGGGAGCAGCTGTGTATCTGCTCTAATAGAATTTGAAAAGGAAAAATGGGCTTCTCAGGAAATCAATTCACACGCTCAAGGTCTGATAATTAATGGCAGGATTAGACTGAGAGCTGCCTGTTCCTCCAAAAGCCTGCTGATGCTTGAAATATGTTTTAATGTACATCTCGAGAAGAAAAAATCGAAATTTATTTGTATATTAATGCGCTCTTCCTGTCCGGTTCTGCGAGTATTATACAGACTATTTCATTAAAGGAAAACTGGTCTTTATATATAATGCCTTTCGGATTGTAATGTTGAAGCATATCTTCTTTCCTTTATCTCGCATTTTGAGTTGTTGGTGAGAAACCCTTGGAATATCTCTCATTTAAAACCCTTACTTAGACTTACTGTCTTATTCTGAAAATATGCTCTCATGCCCTGCTCGTGCAAATGACCAGGATGTTGTCTTTTAAGGAACCAAATTAATTTTATCAGTTCATCTCTGCTGCCCTTCTTTCGAAGTACGACGGGTGCTGCTGGTCCAGATTTCAAATTCTCACCTGAATCCATGAGTGGAGAAAACTGTAATTTTAATTTTACACCTTGTTTTCTTATTATGTTATTTAAATAGCGAGGACTGCCTGCTTGCTTTCCCTTACACGTATGCACAAGGGTATTCCTTGATGGAAGGGCCGGGAGTATGTCGAGTGTTGACGGTGGGATAGATATTGGTGTTCTTTGGTTCTTCTTCACTTATCCGATTCCAGGAAACTCACCTCACTTTGTTCTGTGTGCACTCATTTGTGAGTTGCATTTATCAGGTTTCATTTGTAGTTTCTTATATGGTCAATACATACTATGGATTTACTGCTTCCCTTGTCTGCAACTCACTTGCAGGCTTCTACTCTGTATACTATGTGCACCAGCCTGCTTAGTCTAGTCGGGCACCTAAATGACCTAAATTAGCTTAATCTAGTCGCACCAGGAGACCTTAGTTTAGGCGGTCTGTATACGATATGCACCAGCCTGCTTAGTCTAGTCGGGAACCTAAATTACCTAAATTAGGTTAATCTAGTCGCACCAGGAGACCTTAGTTTAGGCGGTGTGTGAATGTGAGCTTTATCAAGCATCTAGAGTGCATAAAATGGAGCCATGTGCAGTTGATGGGCAACAGAACTTTAGTTCAATACTTACCAGGTTGTCAATCACCCTGTTTTGAAATCCTTCTCTAAAATCCTTTTATGCTTCGTATTCTGTTCGGGCTTGCACTTGTAGAATGATATTTCCAGTGCTCTTGTGGCTGTAACTCTCGCGGTCTGTGCTCTTGTGTCTCCTTGCTCGTTAACCCCTTGCGGTTGGTCATATATTATTCCCCTTGCTAGTTAACTATTACCCAAGTATCATGTTGTTTAGAGTGATCACATGACGTCCTTAAATTATGCATTGACTCTGCAGCTATGATAACTAGAGCAACCAGATTAATTCACAACTGCATCCAATTCTCCCTCGGAAGTTGACGATTGCAGGGAATGAGATTGTTAGTATGTTTTACACCATGCGTTCATTCGTTTGTCAACTTTCTATCAGTAGTTTAGAAATGTGAAGTATTATACTAATCTTTCATCCATTTGATTTGTGTATATCGACAGATCGAAGCGAAGGCGTCTTGCAGGCGGAGAAATCATTGATCCTGCATCACTGGGTAAGTAAATATCTAATTGGTTACAGAAGTACAGTTTCTCTCTCCAGAAATCACCACTACGTCTCAAACAAAATCTCTTTTCTCCTCACGTCTGCAATTGATATTTCCATAGCAACATACACCCCCAACACAAGATCTGGTCATGCAGGAGACTTTCTGGCTCCCCAATATTAATTCTATTGAAACATTTTAATGTATAGCCTAGGCTGGCTCGGTCCTGATCTTCTTGTAACAATACATCTGAAACTAGATTTAGGAGATTAAAGTTTACCAACGTGGCAAAGTCTAACTTTTACCATTCTGACGCCAAAGAGGATTTCTTCTTTGGCGTCAGATGAGTAGAATTGGTGAAATAGACAAGATGATGGAATTGTAAATCCCAGATCATTGATTTTTCCACTTATTTCGATATGTTGGAGATTGTGCACCATCTCTCTAACATTCGCATGTTGAATGGATCTCATTAATGTATATTAGAACACAAGAACATGATACATACAATTAAACTAGATCCATGTGTATAATTTTTCAACATGACACTCAACTGGTTTTGAGTTCGGTATTTTTAGATTTAAATCAAAACTAGATTTGAAATACAGCGTGGAAACCTTCTTATTTACAATTGTTGGTCAACAAGAAATACCCGTAAGAGCATTATGAGATTGATATTTCCACCTCCTTAGATATTTCCTCATTAATATTTACTTGACTTTTACTTAAATACGATATTCGCTGCATTCAGTATGTGCTTCAATATTTTCCGTCGTTACAGTTCGCAGATTGTCTATTAGGACATACTGACCTGTTGACAATCAATCGAATTACCATCTTCTTCTGCATCGACAGCCTAACAGCCATGAACACAACTTTATCACTCTCCCCTCGTGTTTGAGGGAGCTCAGCTTCGTCAACTCATGTTTCTCTCTCCAACACTTAGCACCGGCTATCATCATTACAGTATAAACTCGATTAAGTCCGCACTTTGATCTGAGAAAATTTGTGCGGACTTATCTGGGATGCGGACTTTAGTTATATCTCATCTTGTGACTTCAATCTTTCCCCGGTATTTCTATGTTAACTATTGTCAAAAGGTCTTAACATCGAGAAAAGCCTCGGACAACATCCAATGATTTTCCAGTCGTAGTGATACTTCGTACCACCCTTCACTTCATCCCAAAAAACTATTAAGCCTGTGGTTAGAGGTTAACATTGACATTACTAATAGTCCTTGTATTGCAATTGTTAAGGAAAAGGATCGTTAATATCTTACTCAATTCTTATTACAATTCGTTTGTGCTGTTCTTTCTCAATCCCGTTTACAGCGAACTCTTGTGGATATAGTTATTAACCGAGACAATATATTTAAGATATTGGAGATATGTAGAGATTGATATGAGTGAAGCCTTATCAAGAATGAAATTGGGTTCGAGACGCATGTAATAGGAATAGGAAGTAGGATGAAAACCAGTAGACTTAGATACAAGCAGTTATTAAAAGATCCAACCTTAGGGCCAAAAAGGACAGAGCTAATCTCTAGTGAGAAACCACCATGTTGCCTCATACATGCAAACATTTGGTTCAAGTTATAACAATTTTTTAGCATCACCGTCATTAATCAAAAGTTTGACTTCTGCTGATAATAAAACTCTAGAATTTTTATCCTTGAAATTTCGTCTGAAAATGAGGGCTTAGGCGGGATGCGGATTTATATGGGTGCGGACTTAAGTGAGTGTATACTGTACGATGATGAATGATTACAATCGGAAAAATCATTATATGCGCATGGTTTTTGATGTTGTTGACTGCCATACCGGTAACTAAATGTTCCTCTATAACTGTCTGACACTGAACTGGCTATTGAGTTCTGTTTATAACCCTCTCCTCTAAACTCATGGAGGACTTTCTGAACTCCTTGGTAGCCATTATCTATCATCTTTCTGGGCTCGATGGATCCATAGATTCTGGCTGAACTCTCTTAGCTATGATGTATACTTAGTATTCGTGTTTGCTGTATGTGGGGTTCAGCTCATACCGGATTTTTTCTCATCTTCACATCTAGAAATGGAGTCATGTTTCAAAAGCTACTAAGTGGTGTTTCCTAAACTTTAACCCGGTAGATTCTCAGTGAAGAATCGGAGACTATAGCTATACCCATCAACTAGCAGCAATTGTGCTAACGCGTGTAGCACAATTACAACATGTGTTAGCACTAAGTTCGGTAAGCACACGCGGTAGCGATAAGCTGAAGAAGATAATCCTCTTCAGGTTATCCAGTTACATCCTCTCAGATTATCTCCAGTTAATCGAAATTGTTGTCACATTTTTTCTACCACGTCAACGATATTCCCTTTACCTCTTCTTCTTGGTGCGAATATCATATGTTGTCTGTTTCTTAACTCAAATCGGCAGTTTAACCTTACGTTACTTCATGAGATGGGTAGATTTTATTCGTGGATCTAGTCTAGATTATGCTAATCCCCATGTTATTTTATGTATATGTGATTTGTTGAATTATCAACCAGCTTACCCAATTTTTATCTTCTCCACATAACATACTTGAAATGAACAAGTCGGCAACTTATGGTTTTTCCAATCATACCCAATTTTTAATCTCTCCACATAACATACTTGAAATGAACAAGTCGGCAACTTATAGTTTTTTTTATCATGCTTTTTGTAAACATTTTGTCAAATATGACATTAGGTAAAGGATATAAATCATAGATGATATGGGAATTATTTTTCCTGGTTGGACTACTTGGACATTACTCTCATTGTTAATAAGATTGCAAGAGTTAGCCCCACCGCAAAGAGTGGATCTTAGGAAGTTAATGACAGGGATATTTTCTTTGCAGGTGACGGGAAAAGGCCGCCTTTATATCACTGTAATAATTGTCACAAAGACATATCAGGATCAATTCGCATTAGATGTGCCAAGTGCACTGATTTTGACCTTTGCCTTGAATGTCTTTCTGTGGGGGTGGAGCCTCATCCTCACAAAGGCAACCATCCTTATCAAGTCATTGTAAGTTTACATCATTCTATACCCTGTCTTCCACTAGTTTGAATGAGGAAGTTTATTCGCTCTCAAGTCTGCAGAGGGTACTCCTGCCCTCTCACTCCCATCGTTTTCGAACCGTACATGTGATATTTACATGTATCATGACGCAAACAGTGTACAGCATTTCTTGGAGCGAACCTTTGGCTTTTAACCTCCTCTAGACTCTCTAAATCAGTGTTGTCTAATTCATGTGTTTTGAACTTAGCATGAAAGATCTGACTCTATCCAGTGTTGATGGGGTATCTCAGGAGAACTTAGCCTTTCCATTGATCCATCTCGACTGGAATGCGGAGGAAGAACTACTGCTACTTGAGGTATGGAGTTGCCGGCAGTCAATAAGTATTAGATGAGTAATCTTCAAGTATAAGTTGGAAAAAGTTGACACGAGTGTTTCTTGCAGGGTGTCGAGAGCTACGGGGTAGGAAACTGGGCAGAAGTTGCAGAGCACGTTGGGACCAAAAACAAGACGCTCTGCTACAATCACTACATGACTCATTACATGGAGTCTCCCTTTTCTCCTGTCCCGGTATTTTTCTTTCCAATCCCAGTCTAGTTTTTGGTATGCAATTTTCGTCGACTTATGATTATTGCTTCTATTCTTTGTAGGGAGATGAGTGGTAGTTGGGCATTGCATGTATGGGTGACTTTGAATGGGAAAATTTAGGTTTGTAACTGATGATTATCAAACTGCAGGATATGACGCACGTCGTGGGTAAAACCAAAGCTGAACTGCTGAGCATGGCTAAATTGCAGTTGGAGAACAAGAAACGTGAGGTTCTTGCTGTCCAATTTTGATTTATGTGTAATAGCATTTTTTGTTCCTTTCTGCTGATGGTAAGATATTAATAATTTCTACATTAGAATGTTCTGTACTGCAAAGTCTGAAAATTGTTCTTCTTTACAGATGCACCAAGTCTTGTAGACCCCATACGAACAATCAAGCAGGAGCCGACAAGCTCTCCCGCCAGGATCAAGTAAGTTACTGGAGTCGATCATAGTTAAAATTTCTATACCTGACATAATCAGATTCCAAACTCCTTTGTTTCCAAAGGTATTAGCTTCAGTCAATATTTTGGTCCTGACTTCGTCTGTTGAACTGATTCAAGGAGTGTCTTTTAGGATTTTCATAACAGTAGTTTTGAGTTTTCATTTCAAAGTTTTGCCTTTTTTCCAAAAATTAATAAAAGCTCAAACTGTCGGTGTTATTTTTTACTTGGTCCAAACAAAGGATTGAGGATGTAAAGGAGATGACCGAGGGAAGGTCACCATCAGGCCTTTCACTACTAGGTTTGTCCTCAGACCTAAAGAATATGGCTACGCATGTATTCTGTACCAGAAGGGTGTTACAATTCATCTGATTTTCAATTTGTCTCCACTTTATGCTTCTACTTTTTTTCCCTTGCGTCTTGAACCGATCCTTCCTTGAGGAAGAACGACCACGCACGGTTTGAAAGTTGCCTCACTTGATTTGGATCTCTATCAAACATTCGGACTTCCGAATGTTTGTAGAACAACACAAATGATTGTGAATCGAACTATGTTCATTTCTGAAATATCTAGGGGCTTGATGCAAATTCAGGAAGCAAAGATGGCAAGCTCGAAGGCGATCAAGTGGAAGGAAATTCAGGTGCCCCCATGTCTACCGCCAAAAAGACTGCTGCAGGTGGTCAAGTAAGGGAAAATCTTGACGTGGGCCTCACAGTAACTACGGATGGTAAATACGCTATCCCACATGTCTTCTATTGTAAAAAGACAAACTGTACGAAATGCTTGTCCTGTCTCGAAAGATAGGTTGAAGATTTGGTTTCTTGCCAGTACTCACAGGAAGAATCTCCTTCTGCAGATGGTCATAGTAATCGAAGCATTGGTGGCAAGAAGCCAAAGCTCTTAGCCGAGGACAACAAAGCAAGTGCCACCAATCCAGAATCATCAGGCTACGTCGCCAAGAGACATGAATTTGACCCAGAATATGATAATGATGCTGATCTCCTTCTAGCAGACATGGAATTTAAAGATAATGATTCAGAGACAGATCATGACCTAAAGGTCCGAATATTGCGCATTTATTTAGCCAGGTACGATGTGTACACCATTTTATTGCACAAGTCGGTAGTCTCCCTGTGTAGCATCTTGGAAATTATACCAGACAAGATCTGTCTTGGCTAATTTATGGTTGATTTGGTGTCTGATATGTAGGCTTGCAGAAAGGAGGCGACGAAAAGATTTTATTATAGAGAGAGGGCTCATAAATTTGAAAAAACAAGCAGCGTTTGATAGGAGAAGGACGAAAGACGAAAAAGAGCTTTACTTACGCACTCGTGTATTTCTCCGGTATCATACCAATGAAGAGCATGACGAACTCCTCGCAGGGCTGTGTGCCGAGCGCAAGATCCGACAAAGAATTGAAGAATTACAGGTTTGAAGCTTGATTACTGAACTGCGTCAAATGCTTTCTTGTCTTATGAAAAACCAGTGCGATGCAGTGCACATCTTCTGTGAGAACTCACCACGACCGTTCGTTCTGTTCACAGGAAATGAGAGCTGCTGGATGTCGCATACTCGCAGAAGGAGAAACTTATATTGTAGAGAAAAAGAAAAAGGAGTTGGAAGGTAGTGTCAAGAAAGCCAAAGACAACACTCCTTTCCTCCAGGGCGGCAAACTTACCCATCGATCTAATCGCTATATGAAGAGGGAAACAGGAGACGGTGAGCCCAGTCCGTCTGGTGAGTTAAGAAGTAACCAGAAACCTCGGAGTGGCGGCCATCAAAGCATCAGCGGGGGCAACGGTCTAAATACTGCAAGTAGTAAGGATACGAAGAAATCAGGCGGTGTCTCCGATCTAGCTGGATATCCTGGCATGGAAAGTTTATCCTTCACCGTAAGTTCCTGCGTTCCGATGCTCCTGTTCCGCTGTTGGTCGGGAGGATCCATTCTGTTGTTTAGTCAGGCCTCTATGCGACGTAGAGGTGAGGCGGAGGACGTGAATATATATATGTTGATATGAGAGTTTATGTGTGCAGGAGCGGGAGTTATGCCAACAGTGGAGGCTTTTGCCAAATCATTATTTAAAGATGAAGGAAGTTCTTTTGGGAGAAAGTGCCCGGAAGGGCCATGTAAATAGATCCGACGCATATGCGCTCTTTAAGATCGAACCCATCAAAACTGAAAGAGTATACGAGCTACTCGTAAGCATGGGGTGGATACAGGGTGACAGTCAACCCGCGGGGGACAGATTCTACTCTTGATGCTGCAGAGAAAATGTGGTCCATATTTATGTAATTATAGAGAAACACACCATTGTAATAGATCAAATGTACAATTTTGTCAACTCCATTTATCGGCCAAAGTGCCATTGAAGTACACTTTCTCGCTACAAATGTTTAACAATTGTTAACTTTAATTTCTTCATTTCTGCATTTACGTATATTGCTTTTACGTAAATATCAGGAGAATTCGTGATCTAACATACATTGTATTTCCAAATAATCTACAATTCTTATAGCTAATGTACTCCCCAAAGTTTCTTCTAGCCATGTCAATTTTTACCAAATTATCTCCACTCTGACTAAACGTTAGGTGGCGGCCATATTTTGGCAAAATGCTCCTCGATGCGTTTCGTTTGAGCAATACTACTCTCTACACCGCTTGCCACCAATTCTTCAGCCATGGGTCCCATAGCGGACTGTCCGAACTCTGCGAACTTGACCTTGTCCCAACTTTTGGTCTGCGCGTACAAGCGACCAGGAGATGTCAGTGGCGTACGTCATACCTCTCATGGCCATATTTGAAAGTCGATTCATAGATTGAGATGAAGTCATTGAACTACCTAGCGAAATACATTCAATCGTACCTCTTCAACTCTAAAAGAAGTGCTTTTCGCAGCAGTGGGCGTGAGCCTTGGCTCAAATGCATATTTCTCTCCAAAATCGGCCTTTGACTCCTTGAGGGATTGCAAAACCTTGACAGGCACGATCAAGTAATCTAGTCTGGAAAAGCAACGACAAGATGGCCAAATATAAGCTCATGAGTTTTTACAATACTAATTGCAACTCCTGCACCTGCATTTGTTGCAAAATCACAATCTACCATGCAGACTTCTTGCTTCCATCGGCAACAGCACACAATGAACGCTATCACTGAGGATGACATGCTTACCCGAGAAGACTGAAAACATCTTGTTTGTTTCGAACTGAAGCTGCCATCAACTTGGACTTGTATCCGTTTTTGTGGACATAGTTGTAGACCCTGGTAGCCTGCATCGATCACAAATGCATGATACACGAAATCTCTAAAACAACGTGAAAGTTGATTCCACTTCATTTGGCTGCACTCGGAATGGAATGGAGTGGGTATCGTATTCAAGGAAATCCTCCTATCCAGCCTGTGACAGAATGGGACCAACGCACTTATTTACCAGAGCAATTCCAGGATCTAGACCCATTTGTAAAACGGGATCGACGTTCATGTCACCCGAATGAGTTCTAGCCCAGTCCTGCAAACAAAGCCATGTTTTATCAGCCATGTCAAGAAAATTTGCAGAAAGAACGCATGCATCAATATCAACAACACTCACCCGAATTCGTCCAATGTACAGTTGGATAACGGAGACACCAGCTTGAGCCGCAACAGCCGCTTGTACAAAGCTTTAAAATAAAATCGTGAAAAATAGTCGTAAGCACGGGTCTCTTCGAGAATTGACATAGGCTTCCACTGTGACTCGGGTTATCTTGAAGAAAATGGCATTAAACATAACATTTCTCCTTTGCTACATAATTTGAAGATTGATGCAAGTACCTGTATATCAGCGTCACATGGGTCTGTATCCCTTCCTCCTCAAGGTAACGGGCTGCTTCGATTCCCTGCGACAAAATTACCCCGACACGATACATTATGTACCAGCTTGAGCGTTTTCGCCTTGCGGTATGCAGCATTCAAACCAAGATCGCTCTCAGGCTCATGCTCGGAATGTTCGTCTTAATTTGTATTGGTCGAAAAGATCAATTCAAGGGACAGTCAATCGATGAAGTGGAGTGCATCTTCATCCGATCTTTTCGGTATAGACGACCATATCGCAATGGCACAGTCCTGCCTAGCTAATAATTACTCCAGAACTAAGAGAGAGACGGTAGAACTGAGAAGTAAAAAAAAACTCATGTCTAAGAATTTACCTGCCAGGTCCCGGGAATCTTGAAGAGCAACCGATTTCTGGGAACTTCAACCTCATCATATAACGCCAAAAGCTCATGGACCTTCGTAACAAGATTCATTTATCAATATTCACGAAGCAAAATAAGCTCTGCGAATTCTGCGCATTACATGATTCTCGCAGGAGTGTATACCTGGAAATGGTTTGAGAGGTTGGTCCCCGAGTGCCGATACATATCCTCAAATCGGTCCCATTTTTACTTGTTATTGAAAACGGAAAAAAACAGAAAAAATATGTCCATCTAATCTTCCTCATCTTCCAATGTGCGAAGATACATACTATTCACAGAAACTGTTATTCCCATGCCACTCCATCTCGAACGAAAGATTTTCCCTGGCCGTACCTTCTCGATAATGCCTGGAGTATCATATGCCAATCTCGCATCAACCTCTGTAGATACTCGTCCAGGTACAAGCTTCACAAGCTCTGCTCCGACGTTCACCAAAGCCTGATCCAACACAAGCTCATGTGAGAATGACTCCTATCTTTCAGTGCGAAGCTTGTACAGCACAAATAGGTACAAAGTAAAAAGAAATAAAACATTGACGTTCATCCTGAGCGTCATGCGCTGCTACCGGTCGAACAATTGTACCATTGTCAGGACCCGCTAACAGGTAACTGCTCTTCATACCAAAGACACAGGTTCTATAGGTGTACTCTGTACCTTGCTCAAGAAACACGACAACCTATCTGGGGTGCTCTGAATGGTGTAGCATCGTCCGTAGGCTAAAGCACTGTCGATTGCGCTCTGCACAGCATGATTCCATATCCGAACGAACGATTGATGAGCTGAACAGATGTTCACCACCTTCAACAATTCAAACAATTGTACGGTAGATCATGCACGTGAGGCGTGTGCTTACGTGATATTTCGCTCTTGGAAGGCCAGTTATGCCCAGGAGAAGTGATGCATTGACTGTCGCAGCTTGAGGGGGGAATCTGCCCGAAGAAACCAAAACCTACTATGAGAATTCAAAGCAAACAAGTCACGGCATACAAACTAATTTAAGAGCCATTACAAAGCCTCCGATATACAATGGCGAGAGACACTTATGGAAAGAAGAGCAGTTGGTTATACCTCTCAAAGTCATCGAAGATAACACTGTCAGGGACAATTTGGCTCAGATTGGAGATTGCATCTAGTTCCGTGCCTTCATCTACAGAAACGTAAGCGAGCATTATAAGTTTTTCGCACTCCGACAAAATTCCTGCATTCCTGCTTACCACCTGGAACACCATAATCAAAGTTCAAGCTAAATTTGACAAAAAATTTAGAACGTCGACCACTACGTTCGTTTCGCAAGTTTTCAATATAAACACAGTCATACGATCAAGAGAAAGCTGCCTACATGTGCTGACTTGAGCACGGTTGGGCGAGACGACTCTTTGAATGATGGATGAGGTTGGCTTGCTGCTCAATGCTAAGCGTCTCCACTTCCCAGCAGGCGTCGTGGCGAGGAAATTCGCATAAGGCTGCACCCATATCCAGCTCAGTTGAGAGAAAATCAGCTCTTAAGAAATTTAAAAAGCTCATTCTCCGTCAACGTATGCCAACGGATGTCGACACCACCTAGAAAACTGCCAACATGATGCCCTTGCTCGCGATGTGCAACCTACCGATTGAAAAATCTTACAAAACAACACCCTGGATGTCCTTCGGCTCAGACCGCCTGGTCGCAATGGCCGCAGTGAACGTGGCACTCTAAGCCCATTTCACAGACCGAAAGAGAACTAACATCTCAAATTCCAAGCCACTGCGCTAAAACTGCCGCATACGCTCGACACCAGCTGCCATCAGAGACTCACGACACAGCGCATCACACCACAATTGAGCAACGAATCCAAAGCGAAAACAAAAACCACAGAATTGGAGACGAGACAGCAAAACTTGCCTTCAAAGGCTTGGAGACGCCACCAGACGGCAAGGTCGCCAAGTTCAGAGCAATCGAAGGCTGCTGCCTTAAAGACACGCCCTCCATCGCTCGCATGCACGTCCACGGAAGGAATCAATAATCGCTCCGAGGCCGAGCCGTGGCTCTGGCGACAAGAATGGTCCAAGAATGGTCCGAGAGAAAGAAGAGTAATCGAGCCTCCGCTACGCACCCACGAATGCTCTGATTCAGCGTCTCTCTCGCTCGCTGCGTTACGATCAAGATCCTCGAGCACCAGAGCAGCGTGCGTGTGCACCACGACAAAGACCGACCGAGCGATCCCCGCGGCCCGCTCCTTCCGTCCGTCCGTCAGCGGGAAGACGGAAGGACGAGACAGAACGACCGGAATAGCCGCGCGCGCAGAAGGGTGAGAAAACCGACAAGGCGGGTGAGAATGTGGATAGGATGACTAGACGACCGGCAGGGCGCTAGGTGACCGGTTGTCATGGTGTGCCGGGGCCCCCGAAAGGCTGAACGTGCGCTCGCCGTGAATCTCTGGCGGTCCGAGACCAGAGCGCCTGCGAATGCATGGCATGTCGACCAACTTGCTGCAGGCGCTGCTCCTTTTGCGGCACACATCCGGCAGCCGTACTTCCCGAGAAGGCCGGACTTGACTTCGCCTCGTGTCTTCCTCCTCCCGACTACTGTACCCACCCCGTCATCGTTACGAGCGAACGTTTGTCAACGACCGACATCCAGGATTCCGGGTACCGCCTGCTTTCCCGTCCGGGACCGGAATCCGGGTTCCCGTCGATTGGGGCGGCAGGCGAAGGGGTGGCGATTATGAGGCTCTTTACTGCAGGGCCGGATCGCTGACAGGCACCACCGCATTACCTGCCCTGATAAAGAAGAGTAATATTAGATGCAAGGACCTTCGGTCGTGAAGGAGGGGACTGCTGGTCCGAGGTTGATGAAGAAATTCCTGTGCTGAACGGCCCTGTAGTACTTGACAGTCAGCAATTAATCTGCCACCAAATCATCATCCAGAGCAGATCAGAAAGTAAAGTTTAACCTATGGAAAAAGGACAGTATTTGGAGCATCATGATCGCGATCGACAAGAGCCGAGCAGGGACTGCGGGTCCGGAACTACGGGTGTCGTTGCAGGGTCGAGGTGGACGACGAGCATGATCAAGCTAGAAGGAACGAGGGAGGGAATCCGAGCCGAGGTGCTTGTGTGGAATTAAAACTATTGTTGTTCTTTGGTGTTGCTGGAGCAAACTTATTGGCGAGCATGCGAATCTCTGCGATCCGAACGGGGCCCGGCCTGTCCCCCTGCCAACAAGAAGGCATCCTACAGGGACGTGAGAGGTGAAATACAGATCCTTTGAGATCCTGGATGTCCTCGAGGTTTCAGGACCGATATAATCGAGAATAATTTGTGTCCTGAAAACCCAAATCATTCTCGATTATTTTAAGCATGTTAATTTTGTAGACTGCCGAATGCCCGGAAGGAGTAATTGATCTCCAGGTCCCACCAGCGTGACACTAAGCAGCTCGCACATTATTCAAATGAATTCCCAGTTAATGATGAAAGGAGGATCCCGACCAGGTCTATCGAACCTCAACAAGAAAATTCACCACCGACTAGACCATTTCCTCACATTTAATGACCTGATAGAGCATTCAATTTATCAGCTGATTTGAGCTCGGCAGGGATTTTCGACGAACGATTTTTCCTGAACCCCAGAAGTTGGAATTAAAATAAAATTGAAGTAGAAATTTCAATTTAACAACTCTAATGAACTAAATGAGTTAGTCCTTGGAACATTCACTACATAGAGATGAGATGAAAGCTGTGACAAAAAGCCATAAACTTAGTTTGCCATTGCAGAAAACGATAATTGCGCAGAAGTCCTTGTATGTTCAAGCTTGAGTAAGAGAATAAAACGGCTAGTACGTAAGGTTATATAGGGATTTGAAACATCTCAAAAAGGACGAAACAAACGTACCGCTAGTGGTAATTGACACAATTCCAACTTAACAAATTTTTTTTGCAGCAATGCGAAGGTCTTATTTAGTGGAGAGAAGAATACATTTCATCCAATGGCATTGAATCAATTTTTGAAATGTCATGATTTTCGTAGTATGTTACCAGCTAGTTTCACAAAATATAGCATAGATATGTAGACACGAGGTTTGAAATGCAAACATTATTTACAATCTTGTAAAAAGAATGATGCATTAACTAAATCAATGCATATTTGCACAATAATCCTTAAACATGTTAATATACATGCATTCATTTAATATGTACTCAATGTCATATGATTTATAAAACACATGTAATATAAATTTTCAACATGAAATTTATATTATCATAAATAGCTTATATATACATTTTTCAAAACTAACATTTTTTTCAAGAGAGTAACATCCTAATATATATAATAAAAAGTTACAAAATTTCAATCTTAATATGAAATGCTTAGCTATAATTTCATCACCTAATCAGTTGCAATTGATAAATTGTTTACATGTATTGAAAATTATTAGCAAATTGAATATATGTATATGTTTAAGTGACGAGTCATAATTTGGACATATGCATACAACATAAACGTAATACTAGTTATAACTTTAAATTATTTGCATTGCAGACAAAGAAACGTAGTTTTAAATCAAAACAAAAAAATGTAATAAGTCATCTAACAATTTCACAAACCTAAAGTTAATTTAATTATTGATTTCTATAAAATATCATGATGTTAAACTTTTTATTTAGTTTAGAATTTTAAAATATCTAAAAAAATTAATAAAAAATATTTTAATAGCATTAATTTACATTATATATTTATATATTAAAATAAGAATTTTAAATTTTAATTAAATAATTTCTTTAATTTAAATAAAGTATTTTAAATAATAATTTTATTTTATATAAAAATAAAAATTAATACAAAAGACATTTATTTTATAAAAAATATTTTTAAAATATATAGTTTTATGATTATAAATAAATTATGTTGTCAAATTTTCTAATAATCAAATTTTTGAAATTTTCAAGAATGACAGATTTAAAATAAATTGCCAGAATTTGTAATGATTAATAACTATTATTCACAAAGCATTCATGAAACAAAAAACATTAGAATAGAAAATTCTTAACAAGCTCAATGTTTGAAAATAAAATTGTTTGCTGGAAACATCACTTTTCCTATTAAAATATAGATTATTTATAAAAATTATATAAAATCAACATCTTTATACTTTTATAAGACTATTATTTTATTTATTTGAAAATAATTTATATATAAATAAATCTAGCGTAATGATTAGGTTCAATATACAAACAAATAATGTGATATAATGAGTTTTTTTAGCATTAGCATGTAATAAAAAAATAAAAGAAAAAATTCATATACAAGTGCATTTTATATATAATAATGGAAAGTATTGATTATTTTAAAAATTTATAAATTATTATTCGTCTTGTGATATCATTCAATTGACACAAATAATGCATATCAAGTCTGACTACATTAATTGAAGTTCTTTTTTGAACTTCATTAATCAAAAATTTATTTTTGTTTTATAACAATTAGCATCAAAATATCTCTAAACAGTAGAAAGAAAAGACATATAAAATGCATGTAATGATAGCAATGTTTTTACAAAAAATAATTAAATATCCTTAATAAGCACAGAAAATGCATAACAAATGTGTTATATTATATTGTGTCATATGTTATTTTCAAGAAGCGTAAATATTTTCTTTATGTTTATGTATAATTCATTGAAGATCGAAAATCTGGTTTTTTATTCAAAAACTTGATTTTATGTGATTTGATTTTTTTTTAGAATAATGAAAATTTATAACATATATAATTATTAAGTGATCACTTATTTCTATAAAAAAAATGATTTTTTCAAACAATAAAATTGCTTTAATATATAAAAAGTTTATTGAAAATAATCTTTTGCAAACTTAAATATGGCTCATTTTGAAGATCTAAGGTTTTATAAACTTGTATATGCAGTTTTAATAAATTTAAATTTAAATAATTATTAATTAAATCATGTTTAATTAAAATTAATTTTGATTCAACATTTGTAGACAACATTTTTTTAACATCATTTTTACAATGGTACAGTAATTAAATTATATAAACATTACAAAGTGAATTTTCAATAAAAAAAATATTTTTTATAGTTTACATTCCAATCACATAATTCAATGGATATTTGAAGCAACTTTACAATTAAATGTATTACATCATATAATTTATGTACAAATTTTCATCAAGCATTATCAACCATTCTTATATTGGTTAGTTAACTACATTAACTATGTTAGCTTAATTTAGTCGCATCAAAAAAGTTAATATATGAGGCAAGAAAATTCAATTTGAATTTAAAGTAAGATGATCGAGCTTAAGCAACATGAAACAAAAACAAACAAACTTTTTAGCAGCAGGTCACTAGTACTTACACCTTCGAAGTTACTTAGCTTAGGTTTGGAGTGGGTGTTGCATATTCGCATATTGACTACATGCTTATTGTCACTAGGTTTTGATTTGGACGAGCAAACTTTGACTTTTAGTCTATAGTTTCGAGCTCTTACGTAATCAAATTTTGACAACGAAGAGTTTAAGTAAACACAAATGATGAAAGATTTACTCAAAGATGCAGTGAAGAATACAATCACTGATTTTTTGCCAATAAATAAAAATAAAATTATGATAATATGTTATACCTGATTTAGAAATTAATTATATCAAGATCAACTGTATGAATGAATTTCTTGTCATAAACCTCTCACTTTTCATGGAAAGCTAGCACATAGTCTAACTCATATCATGCCAAAAATATTTTCACATAGAAGAAAATGATAGAATTGTGTATTTTCATTTGTATTTATGTACAACAAAATTAATCTATTCATCGTCTTATGAATTGATAGAAGATGATGAATAAAGACTTCTATCAACAATTTTTATTGTTGATACTTGGGTTCTAGGAAGACAATTCGAAATGGATTACAGTCAACACTTTTTTTTGATGATGTCAGTTTCATATTGTAAAAAACGAAGAGTTCATAACACTTACTTCAACAAATTCTTTAGGGGAAATCCCAAGGGGTATTGTAGCATGCTGGGAAAAGGGGAGCGAAACCGAAAAAACATTTTTTTTTGCCCCGAGCTATTAGGTGCTATGGATTCGTTTTCAAGTTAACTGGAGGGTGTAACCTCAGTCTGGTAACGACGACCCGTCGATCGTGACTATATGCCGCCAGCAAGAAGAGCGGCCTTCTTACAGCCACCGCCTTTGGCATTAGGGTTAGTTGAAAGAGTGGAAACATACTGCGGGACAGCTACCACAAAATGTGGGTAATGACTTGAATTTTGACACACAAACACGAAACGTGGGAATGCCTAAGGCCGGTGACGGCTAATCTACTTAGGGGGTGACACCCTATCTTTTTTGGGCCCCGTCGGAGAGAGGCATCGGGTGTTCCGTAGTAGCGATTATCGCGAAGGGATCAAGAGAGAGATAACTTACCAGGGACGACTGGCTCGTATGAGTTGTACCGTCTGTTGTAGGGAAGGCTCAGCCCGAACTTCTTCTCTGAGCTGCTCAACTTTTAATCAGTTGAGCCTGCGGCCTCCGATCAACCGTGAGAATCGTTGAAAACAAAGTGGCGAACGGGCGAGTAATATGTGGGAATCTGCCAAACAGTTTGGGCCAAATCCCGAATAAACGAAAGCTAAAAGGCGCTGTTTGATGAGCCTACAAAGCATCAGGTAGTTGGTTAGGTAAAGGCTGACCAAGCCAACGACGCTTAGCGGGTCTGTTAGGACGATCCGCCGCACTGGGACTGAGACACGGCCCAGACTCCCACGGGAGGCTGCAGTGGGGAATCTTGGACAATGGGCGAAAGCCTGATCCAGCAATATGGCGTGAGTGAAGAAGGGCAATGCAGCTTGTAAAGCTCTTTCGTCGAGTATGCGATTATGACAAGACTCGACCGTCTGCTTTAGGAATGAATTCTCTTCGTGACGGACTTCGGACCCTGTTCCGTTGACTGATCTCCCAAAAGCCCAGGATGTCTCTAGGCGTACCTTTCCCACTCACAGACTGTTGCCAAGCTTCCACTTGTGAGTCAGTGACTCCCACTGGATATCGGACTGTGTCGGGTCATTCCATTTGGTGCATAGGTAAGCCCGGAGGCTTACTTCAATTCTGGTTCTCCGATCCTGCCTTGAGTGGCGAAAAGGCCCCCATGGAATGATGGTCGGTATAAGATCTCAGCTTATCGTGTCATCAGCTGGGGCCCGCCCGATAGCAGAGACCTTCTCCCTTTTGTCGAGCACTACGAGCCTGCGGGCACGTGCGTGATTTGCAACTCGCACGGCGCCTGTTGCCCGATCATTTTGATCTGGGGCCGCGGGCCTAATATATCGTGAAATGGCGCACAGTTTCAGCCTTGCGACCGTACTCCCCAGGCGGAGTGTTTAACGCGTTACCTCAGCCCCTGATCATCACATATTTTTCACGAACCTAGACAAATCTGGGTTAAATCTAGGATAATTTCTAATAGAAAATCTGGATGAATTATCGTAGATAAATAATGATGAATCCTCATTAATAAGGAACCTCCTCCCCAGGGCAAGCTCTTTGGATGGGAAAATGCTCTTTGTGGTTCCTGATACAAGCCCAAGTCGCCTTCTTACTACAAGGGGCTGCCGCCTTCGCCTAGGCGAGCCGGCGGTCACGTCGTTTTGCCGGACTCACGCGAGTACTCCTAATTCGGGGGAGTCGACTTGGGCTTGTATCAGGAACCACAAAGAGCATTTTCCCATCCAAAGAGCTTGCCCTGGGGAGGAGGTCACTCACTCCCCAGTTTCGGTAGGGATTAGCCTTAACGCCCTCAAGGCCGTGTAGGAAACAACGGTGAGGTCCTAGGGGTCGCTTTTATCCCTAGGAAGTCAGAGGGCCCGTATTACCTGCCTACCTGAAAGGGACCTAGCAATAGGAAAGCGCTTGATAACAAGCAGCAGGGAAGCCAAGGGCGTGGGTAAAGTCATAGACAAATATACCCACGAGCTGCGGGTGGAAACGGCGAAGGGCCCTAGGGTATATTTCCCTACACCTACTGAACTGAGGGTTATGGGAAAACAATTCTTGGTGAAGAACATCAAAGACCCGGACCCGGAGCCCATGTTATGCAAAAAGCTCAACATCTTTTTTTCCATAAGTTTGGCGTACATATCACAAGGCCATTTGTCCGTTTTAGCGTTAGCCATGAAGATTTTTCGCTCTAACTATTATGCTAAAAGTTCTCGGGCCTTTCAAGAAAAAGCAAGTCAGCCATGAATGCCAGCAAAACTGCCGCCAAGGGCCACATGCAGTGGTTTTTCCGAGCATTCGGGATTTGCTGCCAGTGGAAGTGCCCCCCCGGGCCTCCGGGCCTATCCCACTGGTCTCGTCCCCTTTGGCCCCATAAACTTCACAGTATCCGCCCTCCGGGCCTCTCCCGTTGTTATAGATATATCTATATATTTCTATATTTGAAACTTCAAAAGAGGAGCAAGCTGTGCAATCCAATCGCCCTGATTGTTTGGCATAATATTTTGTTTTTTCTCTTTTGGTTTAGATAAAGTTTTACCTTTAATGGTACACAATATATTCTTGATTTGACGCCATTGTCGACTGGTCAAGCCACTACAATGAAATAAAAGAATATGTTGATAAAAGCTTTTGGGTTTTGCCAGGAAGAGGAAAGGAATTATTCAAAGATGTCAAAAAGGTTCGCTAAAATCCAAAATCTCATCACAGCCTTGAGATTTCTAAAAAACCCTGGACTACAGCCACTAGTTTGTTTGCTTCGTGCAGAGATGCGACTCAGACGATATGCATAGACATAGACTCGCCAGAAAACGTCAAAAAGTGACACGCGTACGCTCCGCGTGGACGCAAGACGTAATAAAACGGCTCTTTCAAGCTTCCCCCGACCTAAGAACCGCACGTGCGAGTTTCCCCGCATGCGGCTCAAGCAACGAAGAGCTTAGCCCCCGGTTAACCAAGCCATGGGGCCGCGACTTGACCTCCGGCTGTTGGTGCGCTTGCGCCCATGATGCACTATGCTATCACTAAAGTGTTCTGTAACTCTGCGAGTTGCTTATGTCGCAACTGCGCGATTGGCCAATATTTACGCGCGCACTGCTTGCAGTTATTCACCTGAATTTCGCGTGGTGAGTGGCCTTTTTTAGTGTTTCGTCACCCAAGATTCAAGTCAGCAGTTGGTATGGAAGAACTGCTGAAAGCATTTAAGCGGGAAATCCTTCTCTATACAAGTTCTCATACAAGGGACAGGATGGCCGATATCTATTTTCTTTTTATTATCTTTTCACTTTGGACCCGGGTCAGAGGAAATCATAAGGGCAGAGGGAAGAGGCCAAAAATCTATATTTTTTTTGCTTAGCGTTTTATTATCCGAAGTTTTTAAGACAATTATATGCTCTGGCGGGTAATTCAAGTTGATCAATAAATATATGTTTAAAAGCAACATCTTTAGTCATTTTTTCAATATCCAATGATACAGATTGAAAAGGAAAATACGACATATTTGATTCATTTGTTTTTTCTATTCCAAAATTTTTTTCTTTTTTTTCTGAATTAATTAAAGGAATAAATAAATCAATTAAATTTCGAGAAGCTTCATAAAGAGGTCAAACGTCAGGATGTTTTCATACAAAATGCTATAGATTTTCAGAATACTATTAAAAAAGTTCGTTGAAAATCCTGTCAATTCATTTTTTGGTAAAACATAATGGTATCGATTAGAATTCAAAATGAGGTTGTCTGGAACTCGGGTCTATATTTTTCTTTATACTCGAGTAAAGCCCTACGGGCTTCTCCTTTCAAGACTTGGGCTTGAAATCCATCAGGCCACAAAGCGGCTTGATGGTTTCGCCTTGCGCCAGGATCAAAAAAAAGAAAATTAATCATATGGCTTGCAGTCCGCTAGAACAATTTGCGATTATTTAATTGATTCCTATTCATATAGGAAACTTGTAATTTTCATCTACCAATTCATCTTTGTTTATGCGACTAACTATCAGTTTAGTATTGCTTTTAGTTCATTTTGTCACCCGGGGCCTCTTAGTACCAAATGCTTAGAAATCCGGGGCTCGCCCTGCGGGCCCTATGGCAAAAGTGGATAAGTTCGGGACGGGGAACCCGTTTGCACATGCGAAAGAACTGGGCGATGAATATGCCCTCAACTCAGCCTTGGTGTAAACCCAGTGTAGCCCCCCCAAGTAGGCAAGTAAGGCGAACACCTCCCACAGGTTCCGTCCCGGAAGAGGGTGTCACTCGGGGTTAGAACAAATTTGCCTGAAATGGACAAGAGCGTCGTGGTTCCTTGAATTTGACATAAAAAAGTGCTTCAATTCCATGGATCGACACAAGCTGGTCTTCATCTTACAAAAGGATATAGAAGATCAGAGGTTGAAAAGGCTGGATATATAAGCTGTGAAATAACAATGCATACAAAAGAAGTACAAACCCTATACTTTTTCAAACAAAAAGGCACCCAGGCTTATAAAAAAGAATCTTTATTCGGTCCATCAGATTGGATTGGAGATAACTTCAGCAGCTTTCGTTGGAAATTGCATAATAAATTGGCTATAGAAAGATTAGTCGATTTGGTGAATGGAAGAATAAGAACAATAAGCAAGCAAAAACAAAAGCAAAGAGTCTGTTCTGCTATGATAATAGAATTTATTGAAGCAAAACCTCTAACGGTAGATAATGCTTGGGTTTCAGGATTCGGAGATGGCCATTTTAAGATTAACCACATAAATTTCCAACGTAGTTTGGGTATAGGTCAAAAAGAGAAAAAGATACTGAAAAATATAGCCAGGGGTGGATCTATCTATTATGATAAAAGCCGGGATGGGTGGATTTTGTGGTATTCAGGTATTACTCAGCTAAAGCTAATGATTTCTTATTTATACGTTTATCCATTACACAACCCTTATAAGATAGCTAAATTGAAAGGGCCAGGGCACTGTCAGACAAAAAAAGGATTTGAGCGTTATTTAAGATATCTGGAGAGAGGTTATTATCTAGATCCAGCTAAACAAAACAAATTGTTTCATTTTATTAAATTGTTTCAATCTATTGGAGATGAAGATATAGTCCATTAGCATCCTGTGGTTTATATTCTAATTGCCAGTCATAATGAATTTGATGTTCTCAGCTTTACACATGAATTATACTCGGAAGTAACTTAAAACTTAAGTTAATATTGAAATTATGTGCAATTTCTCGACCTAGCCTGTTTTTGGTACATATTTGTGTAGCTTGTTCATACCCTTAGTGATAAGAGCCAATTTGTGCAGCCTTTGACACCAAATGCTTGTGGTGAGTCTAAACTTTAGTGAATTTTCAAACTGTTTTATTAGTTTGAACCAACTAAGAACTTAAAATTCTTCAAAAAAATCATGCCAAAATCACATACGATAATAAAAATGCTCATTATTACAAAATCTGAACCACTTGCCGTTGGCTACCCATACTAGTTAATTTAGGTGCCAAAATGCACTAAATTAGGTTATTTAAGCGCTCCGCAAACTATCGCCGAAATGACGCAAACCTAGGCATAAAATTTAAAAAACTTCATAATCTCATAAGATTAAAAAACATTAAAAATGTGATATAGAAAGATCTATTTAAAATAAGTAATATTATATTTTAAATCAAAGAAAATTTTATAAAAAATAAAGAAAAATACTTAAAATAAATTATTTTCAAAAATTGCAATTAAAAATAAATTATTTTTTAAAAAATAATTGAAAAAATTCAAAACATGTTAACTTATTATTTATAAATTTAAATGATTAAGATAAAAATTTGAGATTTAAAAAGCTTCAAATTTTGATTCATAAAATTAGTAATTATTCTATTAAAATTATAAAATAATTAAAATTCCCAAAAATATTAAATATATATAATTTAATGATTAAATTTTATTAAAAATTTATGAAAACAAATGAGCTTGTTTAGAAAAAATTTATGTTTCTGCAAATTCTAAATAACTCATGTATTAAAAAGATTTCATTTGTGGTTACTTTTGAAATCAAAACAAAGATTATTTTACTTACAACATTGCTATATCTTAATATATCTTTGCCATATTATATTAATATCTACAACCTTACAGTTTTTTAAATCTTCATCATATCTGCACTAATATACTTTAAACATATCAAAATGTATAAATATGTTGTCTACAATCTACCTTACTCAATAATATAGAAACATATTAAATTGGTAATGTTGCTTTGATTATTAATGATATTTTGAGTTTAGTATATATATATAAATCTATATCTATATATCTTAGAATTTATTATGTTGGTGTCCTTTTAGCTATCCATGCAATTTTATTGCTTAGCATGTCTATATTCTTATATACAAAATTGTGCTTACATAACTTGGTCAAAATTTTCATACATTCACTTTGAGTTGTAACTTTTCACATGGTTGCTTTTTGTAGCTCAATTCTTAATTCTAAGTTATTTTGTATGAATAAGCAAAGTTTTTTTGGGTTTTCATAATGATTTCAAACTATTGCATACTTGAAATCCAATGTGAAGTAATTTTTTTCACGAGATCCGTAAAATTTTATCAAGAGATGTTGAATTTTTTCATTTGATTTCAATTCTTAGACAATAAGTAATAACATCACTACATGTACATTATTGTTTTAATTTTTTACAACCGCAGTTCTGGCTGCGGTTCATGTCGTAGTTTACACTTTTGGAATTCGTGTTTTTCGTCATCTGCAATGAAGATCTGTTGGAGGGAGGGAGGGAGGCGCAGGTGCGTGTGTTATGTCTTTCCTTGGCTTTGGAGGCTTCTTCTGGACGTCGGGGGGTGAGGTGTCGAGATTGTAACGAATGTGGACTGGGGATTTACTTGCTGCACGAGATTGAGCCAATAAGAAACTCTCGGAGTCGTGGCTTGTACCCAACGCCGATATTTTGAAATGGGGGAGGGGAGCAGTTTCGAACGCGAATTGGCGGAGGGTTTGCGAGGTGTCGGGTTTGTCATTGCGTGAGTTTCAGCTGGCATTACACTCCTCCCCACCTGGTCTCAAAGATCGACCTGCTGGCCACCAACACAAACCCACCACCCACCTCCTCCTCCTCCTCCTTCTGTCCTGCGCCATGCTCTACAAAGCAGTACAGGAGTCGGTACTTCTGTTGCCAAAGACCTAAAGCTAGTAAATAAACTTAGCAACTATTTGTGCAGAAGCGTCTTGAGAACGAACAAGACGACGAGTCAATAGTTCAGCGTCGCAATCTTTTTCGAACTCATAGCCAACCAATTTTCGCCATGGAAGGAAAGTGCTACCCGAATTCGAACTGTCTTGAATCCGTCTCTTGTGAGCCCCAACACGTCCTTGGCTCCACCGGGTAGGACAGGAATGCTCAGAGGAACCTCATCCAAACCAATGCCTCTTAGGACAGATCCGGGGAATGTGTCACTGCGGAAGGAAGGGACTGGGAAACAGACGACAGACCTTGAGATTCAAGCGAACAGGAGTATGCAAACTGGGCAACATCAGTCATGAGACTGTTTCTCGAGGGTGTCACGTTTGGTCGTCCGTACTTTGATTCGTTTGGTCGTCCGTACTTTGATTCGTTGCTTGAAGGAAAGCCCTTGAGAAAACGACGAATTGAGACTCGTGTTCCTGTTGCGGGCTAGGCACCTAGGCACCTAGACTCGTGTTCCTGTTGCGACTGATGGACGCGGGATCTCTTTGCCTCCACCCCAGGGGATATCAGAGCTGACTGTAAGAGCGCCAAAAGCTCGAAACAAGAAAAGACAATTACGATTTGCATAAAATACATAAAATATTATTTGCAAGGGATATAAGAGTCGGACCATTCCTCGAAGCGACTCAGGAGAATCAAAAAGAAATGTCGGATCCTGAAAGTGTGATCGAAATCCGTCAATGCTACTGTGAGGAAGGACATCTTTCTGAAAGTGCAACATGAGGAGGATGACTGAGCGAGCTTAGGGGGCAGATTCTAGCCACACCGAAGTCGGTAAAGTCGAGAAACCCTACACTACACTGAGTCAAGAGGACTCAGTATTCCTCCTTTCCATGTGCAACTTGCAGGGGTGTTCCTCGACGGTTCCTCATGGTGGAAAAGAATCTTCCGACAGCCAGTAATTGACGAACGCTTTGTCTGCTGGCATCCGAATTTCTTTCACGAGGTGAAAGCAAAGTTTCACTAAAAGTTTTACACTTCTCGAGCAGAGCAGTCCATCCAAGCCCCGCGATTCTTTCCGACATGAACGATTCTCGGATGGCCTTTCTACAAATATGACTTGAATTACCAAATATTCATGATTCAGATAAGATAAAAATATGAATCACACGGTAAAAAAAGATGAAATTTTTTTTGCATACACTTTATTCAATTTTATAAAATCCTTTTAATTACATTATAAGACATAGTTCTAAATGAGTGTTTGAAAATCATTATGAATGATTGGGTTTGAAAATTTTATTAACAAAAATACATATAAAAAATAAAAAAATTATCAAAATACAATTATATAAGCACACACATTAAAATCAATACCATAAAATTTAAGATTAGAATTTAGAATATTTTAATTCAAAAGTAGTCTTAAAGTAATTTGTGTTCTTCATGACTTGAGTATGCTAAGCAAGTACTTCATTTACATAACAATATATTCAATAATTTGCATCTTATAACATTAAAAAAAACTTTATAAAATAAAAATGTAAAAAATCTATATGAAGTATCATATTGACAAAAAAATCCTATTAAATTAGAAAATTTTATTTCACTAAATTTCTTTGTCATTTGATCATATATTTAAGTTGTATTTGCAATCGTAATTATTGGATTTAAATAAAAGTATGATTTTCTATCCTTAAATAAAAAATTGTAATATAAGAAACTTTAGTAGTGATAAAAAAAAGTTTATCAACAATTTGATGTTAAAATAATTCAAATGCTAAATACATAAATTTATATTAAAAATATATAATTGATTTTGTAACGGCATTTATTACAGAAATATATCTAATCACTTTTAACAAATGTTAATTGAGTATATTATATAATAACATAATAGTGATGCATAATTTTTTCTAAATAAATCTGATAATTTTGATTAAAATATCATTTTTCATACAATACAAACATTTGACCCTTGGTATCTACGTCCACGGCTGAAGCGCACAAGAAGATTTACTGACAAATGAATAATGTATGCACACCCGAGTAGAAGCCTTGGGGGTATATTTATACCCAAAGTCAGCGACACACCTAGCTATAAATAGCTTTAATCTAAAGTTATTTCTTAACCGGAATTATACTCAACACATACATCATATCACGACATAAACAACATATTGACAATTTTCATTAGATACAATTTTGGTTTATGATATCAAATTTTAGTTTTTTTGCATCAATTATTTTTTATTGTGATCATATGAATCATCCAACAAATCTATTGATAACATTTATGATTTGATGAAAATACATAAATTTATGTATATTATACATAATAAATGCATGACGCTTTTTGAATATTATTAGCTAAAAAGAACTGAATCAATTCAAAAATATAATCATCGAATCTGAATTATAAATAATCATTAAAGAAAATGCTAACAGTTTTACGTTTATTTTATTCCTTGAAATTTTAATTTTTTTAATGTTTCACAATATACAAAAGAATTTTCTATGTCAATTGTCATAACAATTAAAAATTTATAAAATACTTGTGAAATTTCTTAAAAATAAATTCATGTTTATAAATATGAATATGTATATATTTATAATTATTATTTTTGTAAACATATTTTATAACTTTTTAATTTCATTTTCTCACATAAAATAAAATATTTAGAAAATAAGGATATCATACAAAAAATTTGTTAAATTATTATGGATAAATTTTAAGTAATTTTTACAAGTTTTACCATTAAATTCAGCCAAATAAATGATTAACTAAAATCATTCTGTCTAATTTTTTTATTCAGGAAAATCAAATTTAGTCTTGAAATGCACATCTATAATTGTTGGTGTTAAATTTTATAGTATCGATCAGAGTATAATCTCTTCTTTGTTCATTTATTACTGAAAGTTCATAACATTTTATTTTCACGAAATAGTTTTGAAACATTTTAACTAATATCAAATTATTATTAAATTAATTTTGACACATTTTTTTGCACATCTTCACAACGTATTCTTTTCATTAAAGTTCACAAAATCAGACCTATCATAGATGACAATTTGTCACAAAATAGATAGGTTTATTAAATTATATCATATAACCGTTTTTACTAAAACTTTTTGTTTTTAATTCAATGAATTAAAAATTTCTAATCTGAACAAAGACACTGAGTTGAAAAGAAATAGAATGGGATGATTTTATTCAGCAAATAAAACTACAAACTATTAATATATTGATGCAGATTAGGATTACAATCATATGTCCAAGTTTTGAAATTGGCAATGAAGAGTGTCAACTTAATTTCTTTTACTTTTTATGTAATAGTTGTTATAAGAATATACAGTGAAAAGCATAAACTAAATAATTGAAATTCAATTATGGTATTTATAATTATATGAGCATATTTAGCTTGTTAAATTTATTGCCACGTAATATGAAATATTACGTGGCAATATTTAGTAAGTTAAAAATTTTAGAAAGTAAAGATGTTAAGTCATTATAATATTAATTTCACATGTATATATTATCAAAATCATATGATTGACATTTTTTTCCATAACTATCTACTCTATATTAGTTCATTTATAATTTAAATATAAATTGTGATAATTTTGTTGATTATATATATATAAATTTTATTGTATAAATCAAATATTATTTGCATTTATTTAATGTACATTTGACACGTAAAAAATATAATTTATATTTTTTTACCATTAAAATTAATTTTTGTGCATGTTAGGTGTGCGAATAAATTAATTTAAGATTTAAAACAAAAATTTTGATGAAATAGAAAGTATGAAATTCATTTTTCATGTGTATAAAAGCTTTTCATTTGAAAGATTTTTAAACATCATAGCAAAATTAATTTATCGGCTCAGATTTTATTATAATCCTTAAAACAAATTGCACATAGAAAATGAAGATCAACATCTTTAAAATATATTGCTCATTATGACTTGACATATTTCATTTTGAGCAAAATATATATGTAATGCTAATAAAATTGATTACTTGATTAATAATCATGAATTAGGTAAAAACATGATTATTCATGATTGTTGTAATCATGAATATTCATGTTTATCATAGTATATATTTTTGATAATTAAATTTCATTAATCCCAAGAATATGAATGAACATTTGTTAAAATTCATTGTGTATCAATTTTTCAAAATTTAAATGTGATCTTTGAAATGATATTATGATATATTTGTTAGCACATGACAATAAAATAGCAACAGCCAGCTAGTAGTATAGAAGATGATAAACACTAGAAGACTAATATAACGTGGTGCAGGGGCTACGTCCACAAGAGACTATATTGCCAATAGTGAAAAAACCTTGTATTGTCATAAGTCTCTGGGATTAAGTATCCACGTCTTAACTATACTCTATAGCTAAATTTAGTTAGGGCTGAGGTTACTCCTCACCTCAACAATATTTACAGACAAAATATTGATCACATTTATAAATACAATGATTTTGCTATTAAAGTTTTGCATATTTTTCTTTGAGCATGATTGATAGTTTATTTAAGATTTATTCTCTTCGGAGTTATGATATGTATATTTTCTGAAACATGTACATTTTATTAGGAAAAAGTTTGACGTTTTCGCTATCAAATATTATTTCACAGGTTTGATATCTGAAATGTTACAGAGTATTATCTCAAATTGATTAGAGATACTTTTCTTTCATAGTTTTCAAATTCATATATGCACAAGTCATGTTTCTTTGTAAACTAATAAGACTTTGGTATTTTATACTTCATTTTTTATCTTGCTTAGGATTGATTACAGCAAGATTTTTTTCATGCATATAATTGTAAATTATATCCAAAATATGATTTTTATTGTATAAAAGTGTAAATGACGTTAAAATTATTTTTTTCCAAAAATTTGAAGACTAATAAATTTACTATGAACAAAAATATGATACAAAAAAATTCTATTCTGCTACTGCTTGAAATAACTATAATACATTGCTGTTTTACGGTTTATGCGAAATAATTTTTCATGTTTGAGATGTATCAAAATATAAATTCAAGTTAGGACTTTTACAACTTATATTATGAGAAACTTGGTTTTACAATATATAACAAAGTAATCATTTTAGAAATTTTCTTTGATCTATTAGGCTAGAAGATTCATGTATAATTAACTAGATTGGAACTACAAGGTATAACAAAGTAATGATTTTAAAATATGTGAGTATCTTTTGGAGTAGAAGAACAATATATATCTCTAAAAAAGTATAGTTTTGACATACTCTGCATTATTTCCTCATGCATTTGACCATTTTTTGAATCTAACATTTTGTCATGTTTTATTAATATAAAATTTTAGATTAATTGATCTTACAGCAGAACCAAAATTCTAATTCACACCTGTTGAAATGTTCATTGAAAATGAAGAGAATTTAATTTTTTATATGTATATATATAATTATATATATATATAACTATACATATAATTGTTTATATGTATAGTTAATATATGTGAGAGAGATGGATAGGAGTGTTTAACACTCATATCCATCTCTCTCATATATGACTTTTCCCTGCGTAGAAAGACTACCGGAACCGGGCGTATGCGCCACCTGCCCCGCCGCTTCAAGAACAGCTTGAGAGAAGGTACCGAAGAAGCCAGCAGCCGCCGGGGTCTAGATTTGAGATGAAGTCATTGAACTACCTAGCGAAATACATTCAATCGTACCAATTTGACCAACATCCTAGTCTCTCCTCGCGACCGAAGACTTTGTGTGACTATCACGCGTTCCGAACACAGATATACACCTTTCTCCTCTCTGTCTCGTACCCCGGCTCACGCAGGGCTCCGTCTGAGCTACATTCCTTAGGGTTTCGAATTGTCTCCGATTTCGGAGCAAGATGGGTAAGGGAACAGGAAGTTTCGGCAAGCGCCGAAACAAGACACATACTCTCTGCAGGCGATGTGGACGGAGGAGTTTCCACATTCAGAAGAGCCGCTGCTCGGCTTGTGCCTACCCTGCCGCCCGCATTAGGAAGTACAACTGGAGTGTGAAGGCTATCCGTAGAAAGACTACCGGAACCGGGCGTATGCGCCACCTCCGCCACCTGCCCCGCCGCTTCAAGAACAGCTTCCGAGAAGGTACCGAAGCGGCTCCCAAGAAGCCAGCAGCCGGCGGGGCCTAGCTTTACAAACCTAGAGATTTGTTTAGAGAAATCTGTATACCGATGAAGCAGAATCAAATTTTATGACCTGGAATTTTCGAGAGTATACGCACAGGTCTCTCTAAATACGGCAAATATGAAACTCGAGAGCACGATTGCAGCAACAACTGCATTACATGCAAATGCCCAGCAGCAGATGCCTTTACTGGGCGATTACATTCGGCTTAAAGCATTAAAAGAAATTTCAAAAGGGGAGCACGCGGGAAGACGAGAATCCTACTCAAAAGGACGTGAAGCTCGAAAACTCAGTTAGGCGAGACCGGAAAGTTCGAGAGTTTTCTCAAAATTCTGTGACACCCAAAAACGTCAAGATTCCCAATCAGGGTTCCTGGATGTGCCCGGACGTCTGAATGGATTCTGTTGCGAGAAGAAAAATTGAAAGAGAACAAAATGTTAGGACAAAAGAAACAATGCTCTCTCTCTCTGAACAGTGATTCCAGTAAATACTCACAAAGTAAAATATATTGAATGAACTCGGAGGTGTTACAGTACCACATAGTGAGGGTTAGTGTACCCTTTATTAATAAAGAGATTTTCGATTAGAAGTCTCGATGCTTCTTAGCGTTAGGGTAAACCTTCGTTTATCGTAGATCGTTTATCTCAACAGATTCAATGGGCTGTAGCCTGTGGACCTCTCATCCAATTGTGCACCTCACAGATAGAGGTGCAAAAGTGCCTCTTCATCGGGACTCTTCTTCTTACATTGGGACAGCAGCGAGAAACTTTCTCTCCCTCACAAACAACTCTAACTCTCGCTTTTATTGACTTTTCTTGTAATTGCAGATAAAACAGAAATCTGCAGCTTTACATCGTTAAATTTTTTTTTCTTCATAAAATTTCGTACCCGATTGCTGTATTCCGTTTTCATAAATTTACGTATTTCTAACAAAAGAGTCTTTGTTATCAAAGTGGTTTTTGCTAGAGAATCTAACTGAGTCACTCGGGTAAAACTTTGAAGTGACTGGCTGTGACTTTAGGTGACTTTACTAGAGAAACTAACGTAAATCCAACTAAACTTTGAGGTGATCATTTTTGAAAATTTTTTTGTTGACCTCGATGACATCTGATCTGATGATTCAACCAGGCAAGTTTTAGTATTTTGTCTCGTCGCTTACGTGAGTAACTTTTACTTTTGAAAACACGAGAAATTATGAAACTAGTTCTAAAATGTCAAGAACATTTCAAACTTTCCTGGGAACAAAAAGACATAGATTAAATAATGAAAGAACACAAACATCTTTTGTTTTTTTTTGTTTCGAGAACATTATGAAGTCGATATTCTCGGTTCAATCCGATTCCAAGTATTAAGAATAGATTTCTTCAACTCATGCAGTTTTTTGGAGGATTAGTTTGACCATTTTCGAACATTGCAAAGGTATGGAGAGTGTTTCTTAGTGTTGATATTGGGAAAAGTCTATTCACAGAAAAATTAACACCATATCTCTCGAAAATATATTACCCTAAAATTGAATGAGACAGAGAGGAGAAAGGTGTATATCTGTGTTCGGAACGCGTGATAGTCACACAAAGTCTTCGGTCGCGAGGAGAGACTAGGATGTTGGTCAAATTGGTACGATTGAATGTATTTCGCTAAAATTCGGCCGAAAACACGAGAGATTTATGTCAAGTTGCATATATTATCCTTATTTTGTTGTGATACGGAACATACTTAATCCGCCCTATATAGAGAGGACTCCGCACCGCTTTCGCGAATACTAGACAAATTAAATTAAAGTCGGACGAATCATTTAACGTCGGCTTTATCGTACTGCCGATTCCCGACTGTAGCCTTGGGACAACAACAACAACCACGCCGTGGTCGTGCAACTGCGAGGCAAAGTATTTGCGTTATATTGTCGTTTTGGACCAGTTTGGATTTTCTCGTCTCCAAATTAAGGGCCAAACCACACGACTGGCAGCGGCAACGAATCCTCGCTTGTTATTGGCACCCGAGCTTCACCCGTTACCACACGGGAGTGAGCGGCAATTTGATATATCCTAGATGGCAAAGAAATCGACTTCTCCAAACTACCATGCACTTCCGCCTGGAAATCCGGTTTTTCCGGAACATATCGACTCCACGTGTACTTTCGCGCCTTCCTGGGTTACTCTTCCAAAAACTTCTCACCTCTGCGTTGCAATTAGTAGAGATATTTTTCCCTTTTCACTCCAAAGACACTACCAGTAGTGTGGTAGAAGTTATGGAATTCTCTCCAGCTGGCCAACTTAGGCCTACGAAAACCTGGTTTTCTTATAGCCAGGAGCTTGCCGGCTGCCGGTAGTGTGGGAAGGCCCTAAGACTGGGCCACAATAACAACTTTCTTTCACGCTTCACGTACATATGACGCTTCACGGTTATCTGGGAGGGAAGCGAATCGAATGGAGCCCGACCCCCTCCCCCCGCATTGCGGCAAAATGCGGGGGGAGGGGGTCGGCAAGCGGGCCCGGGTGAGGAGGGGGGGTCGGGCTGCGGGCAGAGGTCGCGTTCCCTCATTTTTTAGGAGCCCTTAGTGACGAGGGCGGCCTCCCTTCCCCGCAGGAACTTGTACTCTGTATTCTCTTATACTCCCCTCACAAAACTGTGAGCATGTTTGGGGCCTCCCCTCTTCTTCCAAAAAAAAAAAAAACTAAGTCCTTTCTTTTCCAAAGTCCTCTTTTCTTCTTATTTCTCTTCATAAAACTAAGTGACTGGAAGCCTAGTTCGAATAATCATCAGGAAAATGTGGGCTTCTTGGAATCCTCCATGAAGATCATCTACCGGTGAAGGAAGTTTATGAAATTTAAGTGTGAGAAGAGTATTAACTGCTTAAAAAATAGGTTTTGGGTAGACGTGCTGGCTTGAGGAAATTGAAGATGAATGCTTGAGTTCAGAGATTTGTATGTGTATTCTTTGAAACCCAAGTTCGTCTCGAATGGGATATATGAACATCTGTTACGTCATGTGGTGACAAAAGCTAGCACTACGTAATGATCGTCGACTTTTTTCCTATAGAGAATGGGTGAAGCATGATCATACAGGTAGCTCAAGCTCCTCTATATCTAACTCTTACAATAACGAAGTCATACTCGTCGTAAGAAGTTTCAACCCGATGGACAACGTCTGCAAACTTACTTGATTGACATCCAATCGGCTGCTGTTGATTTCTTCATTCGTGCTATCTGTTTTAAATTTTACACTTGAAACTGATCTTTCGCAACGTGTAAAGAGCTGCCAATGTCCTTATCTTTCTTTGCCGAAATTGCTCGGGATCGGGCGAGCTGGAGCGGGGCGGCCCTCCCTGGTCGAAGCGGGAGGTCGGGCTGCGGGCCAGGGACCGCCTGGCATCGGACCCGGGCGGGCAGAAAGCTCTCCCGGGGAGTGCTACGAAGATAGCCCTTAATTTCGTGCCTATAATCCTATCTTCGTGCCTATAAGGCTTATAGGCAAGAAAAAAAAACGACGTTTAAGGTAACGACGTACAAGTGGGTTTACCACTTTTAAGGTGGCCAGCGGTAGAAACTAAACTTTTTCTAGAAAGTTTCAGCGTCTAGAAACTAAACTTCCTAGAAAAGACGACGTACATACGTCGTTTTTTCTTCTCTATATGTACGTGAAGCGCAGGCAGCAGCAGCAGTTGTTTTGGGTTTCGAGTACCACCTTTCGGACCTTTCGAGGTCGTGCGTGGGTGCTCGCCATTCATATCGTGGGCCTCGTACGAGCATACCGTCCTGTGGTTTGCAGGCAGCAGCAGCAGTTGTTTTGGGTTTCGAGTACCACCTTTCGGACCTTTCGAGGTCGTGCGTGGGTGCTCGCAATTCATATCGTGGGCCTCGTACGAGCATACCGTCCTGTGGTTTGCAGGCAGCAGCAGCAGTTGTTTTGGGTTTCGAGTACCACCTTTCGGACCTTTCGAGGTCGTGCGTGGGTGCTCGCCATTCATATCGTGGGCCTCGTACGAGCATACCGTCCTGTGGTTTGCAGGCAGCAGCAGCAGTTGTTTTGGGTTTCGAGTACCACCTTTCGGACCTTTCGAGGTCGTGCGTGGGTGCTCGCAATTCATATCGTGGGCCTCGTACGAGCATACCGTCCTGTGGTTTGCAGGCAGCAGCAGCAGTTGTTTTGGGTTTCGAGTACCACCTTTCGGACCTTTCGAGGTCGTGCGTGGGTGCTCGCAATTCAGAGTAGATTACGTCGATGCTTAATATGGCTTCTCGCTAGAACAACCCCGACCGTATGCTCTCCGGGCTGACGGCGTTTGCTGTCGGGCGGATCCATACGAGGCCATTTCTCGAGGCGATTCTAGTTCTAGAAAACTAGAATCGCCTGCTGTTTCCTTCGCATGACTTAAATTGGGTTGACCTCGAACGCAGGTCAGACTAGTTGTTGGTCTGCGCATCTGGAGAAGCAAATTTCAGACAAAATGGGACGACTAATGGGATGTTTCAGGAAAAATGTAGAGGCTCCACAGACGTGCTCCACACATCCGTCGATCGAGGGATCGCGGCCGGAGCATAGAAGCTTGGGCAAAGGTGACCTGATTCTGGCGATAAACTCTGAGACAAACCCACAGTTTCCGAATAGTGCAGGTGCGAATGCGACCATCGTCGGAGGCCACACTCCACTGCATCAAGCAGCAGCCATGGGGCAGAAAGATGTAGTGGATGCACTTCTTCTAAAAGGTAATCTGAACGTCGGAGTTGCCACATCTGACGGCATCACGGCCTTGCATATCGCCGCTTACAGAGGCCATGAAATGATCGTCACAGCCTTGCTTCCCTGGTATAGCAGAAATCCTGCTGCTGATGTTAATGCCCGAGATAAAAAGATGGGCAGAACAGCTTTGCACTATGCAGTTGAAGGAGGGCACCTGAGGATCGTCGAGGTACTGAGTAAATTTCCCGGTATCGACATTTGCCCAGAAAACTCTCAGAACCTCACTCCTTTGTTCATGGCGCTAAGTCAGCGCAGGGGAGATTGCAGTTTACCCTTGGTCAGGACATTAATTGATGCGGAGCCTGATCAAGTCAGCCGCGCACTTAGTCCTCACGCAATGCTCATCGACGATTCGACCTGGCTGCAATCGTGCCTTACTGAATTGTTCACGAGCGACGCTGTTTTACAGAATGTCTCCGGCGTTCGTCCGAAAGAAGAGTCTGGGACTTCCGAGCAGGAGAATCGGAATAAGTTCCGGGAGATAGAGGAAGAAAGAAGAAGAACTGACCGAAGCACATCACCGGGAGATTGGGAAAGAATAAGCAACGTCCGCGTTGCCAACGTGGACTGGCAGAGGACGTATTCACCAAAGTCAACGACAGAAGAGGAACTTGACCGCTACAAGAAGTACAAATGCCCGGTGGCAGGTCACACGGTTTTACACGTGGCTGCCACACAAAACAACGCCGAGGTCCTCTCACACGTCCTCTCCAACTGCCCGAGCGCAAATGTGAACATCCTCACAGCCGATGGCAGCGGAATGACCCCTCTGCACTGCGCCATCAGAGCGGACTCCACGGAATCAATCGACGTCCTGATGTCCCACCCAGATGTGGACGTGAACGCCCGCCTGAAATCGAGAGTCGACCTCGCGCTGCCGCCATGGACGGAACTGACAGTGCGAACCTGGTGGAGCCGGAAGAAATCCGAACCGTTCCGCTTCTACAAGGCGACCTGCGTCTCCGACACCCCTCTGCACCTCGCAATTCGCTGCTGCAGCTCCCGGACGCTGCGAAGAATCGGCATGCAGTTCTGCAACCATCCCCGCTTCCAGCCAAGCATCTACAACGAGTCCGGCTGCAATTCGCTGGATCTGGCCTGGCTTCGATCGTCGTGCAGCTTGCATTACGGGAATAGCTCGGTCGACCTGCACTCGTTCCTCGACACACTCGAGCGCCAGCCGGGGAACGAGCTGCTTATGAACGAGGTCAACAGCTTGAAGAAGAGGTCTCAGAGGGTCGTCATTTTCGCGCTGGCCGCGGCCATGCTGATTGGAGGGATGACAATTAGTAGTCTGCTGAAACCGCCGTTCGATGCCGCCACTGGTTCCAATGCCCGGGCCGTGCGCTTCTTCTGGGTCTACGATTGCATGTCCTTCTACTTCTCCATCTACACGATCCTTTACTGCCTGGGCACGATCATCACCACGTGGCAGCACACGCAGCGCATCACAGGCGGCATCAACACTACGTCCACGTCTCTGCGCGTCTTCTTCGACCTCGATTATGCCCAGCTCCTCATCTGCGTCTTCTTCTGTTTCGTGACCAAAGCGGGATCCTTAATCGGGGCGAGCCTTGCCAACCTGCCTCCGGACTCTCGGACCCCCGTGATGATGGTCTATGTGATTTTGGGTCTTCTTCTCGTTCTCATCCAGGCCGTTCACAGTTTGGACTCCATGGTCAAGAACGCTGGACTTCCCATCGTCTTCTGTGTCGTATCAGGAGTGGGATGCTTAATCTCGGGGGACTTTGATACCTGGACTCTGGACTCTCTGACCCTCGTGATCATCGTCGTAAATATACTTCTCCTTCTCATCATGACTATCGACTCCGTGGTCAAGAATTCTGCACTTTACCTCGTACTCAAAGCTGGGGTCGAGACGCAGTTTCATGATCTGCACAATCTGCTTTTGGGGCTGGTTTACTGGTGTCCGCGGCAACTCCTTTGTTTGCCGTGCAGACCGCGCCGTGATATTCCATTAGATCAGAACATGTTTATTACGCTGATCAAGTTAGCGATTCTGCCTATCCACGTCTTTGTTATTATGGGCATTACATGGTACACGTTTATCACCGATACGGGATAGACCGCTATCTGAAGTACGAATGCTCGATGGCAGGGCACACAATTTTCCAACTGGCTGCCACGCAAGACAACGCAGAGGTACTCTCGCACCTCCTCTCCAATTGCCCGAGCGCAGATGTGAACATTCCCAGCGGCATCAGAGTGGAATCCATGGAGACATTTTGACGTGCTAATGTTGTTAGAGAATACGCTGCCTGAAGCATTACGTGGTAATCTCGCCGCTGGAAGATCTCTCATCTCGGTGGAAGCGAAACATCGTTTCGTAATTCTAGGTGGAAACTAGACTTCCGAAAACTGTATATCAGAGACTACTTTGACATGATACTCTCACCGTCAGCGCAGATGTGAATCCCATCGATGGGTGGGATTCACACCGCTCTCTAGTACCATATATACATACATACCTACATGTCCAATAGAACTATAAGCTAAAAGTCTTTTTACTTTGTTTTGGGCCATGGCGGCCAGTGCTCCTAAGATCATAGAAGCAATGCTGCAATCCACGTGTATGCTATTGTGGCCATGACAATCTACTCACTTGTTTCGTGACGAAGACCCGCCAGTTCTGGTTCATTCACCGCAACTTCGTCAATCTCTGTGTTGCAGCAGGAACCGAATTCTATTGATCTTAACTAGGAATATGCAGAACGCTTCTCAATCTAAGAGACCACGGATGGAATCATGTGTGTACCGACGAGTGTCGTAGCAATTAATCATCTGGAGCCATCCTCATCGAATTAAGGTTCCAACTCGATCTCGAACTCGAGCATGAGGAAAGATCTCCTGATATGATTTAATGATATGCAATTAAGATGTACGACACTACTGTACATATGGCTTGAATCCAGAACCTCTAAAAGCAACGAGGACGTGGATAGATCAACGCTCCTCTCCAGAGAGGTTCCAGATATTCACTAGAAGTTTATTCAGAATGATGTTTACAAGAAAGTCTAAAATTATTTCATGATTGATCAAACCAATCAGTAGAGCCAACTTTAGAGATTTCCTCTAAATTGTTGCAGTTTTTGATCGATTGCTTGATAGGTTGGACTCATTCAAGAAACACATTGAAACTTGAAACTTCACCATGAATATATATCATTTGCACGGGACCTTCTATATGACGGTCAAATTGCAGGTTTAATCCATAACTATGCTCTATACCGGAATGATTTTAATTGGTGTTAACTTGTTAAGGACCTCTTATGCAGCCTGCTTCCATGAACTGGAAGAATACCACTGATGTCTGTTGTTTTTAAGATAGGTGGTATACGAAAATTTGAGCTACCATGGAGTGCAGGAGCATTAGTAACCTGGAGACTACTAGCTTTGCCACTGTTAAATTCCTCCAAGGTGTAGCCATTGTAGAGCTCGAAGATGAAAATGTCGAGGAAAACGAAACCAATCGATCGATATTGCATTGAACCCTAAAGATTATCTAAGATTACTGAATGTCGTGATGTAAGGAAAGTCTCAAGCTTTTGTGAATACTACCAGTGGATGTATTTGACAAAACTTCGACTGGATCTCGAGCAATAGGTCTGCCACTGGGGTACGTTGTACAAGATACGGAACATACAGCAATTGCCGAAAGCCAACAACCAAGTTCAATGTTTGGAATACTTGTGCTTCCAAAAATTGTTTTTGGTGACACTCGACTTGACGTTTGAATATAGAAAGTGGTAGAAGGGATGTGCTGATGAGATGCTACTTGTCAACAAACCAAAAGCAGGAGAGAAAAGTGAGTTCACGATATTTTTGTTCATACATTCAGATCTGCTAAAGAAATCAATGTCAATCGAAGTTACAATCGAAGTTCATTCTTCCTTCAACACATACTCCCAATAACTCAGAGTTCTTTGCGTAGTCATTAATCAGTTTATCTGGAGATGAAGTGATGAGATCTGCATTCTGGATGGCAGATTCTACTCTTGATGCTGCAGAGAAAATGTGGTCCATATTTATGTAATTATAGAGAAACGCCCCATTATAATAGATCAAATGTACAATTTTGTCAACTCCATTTATCGGCCAAAGTGCCATTGAAGTACACTTTCTCGCCACAAACGAAGTACACTTTCTCGCCACAAATGAATCACAACTGTTAATGTCTTTCTTCCTTCAAGTGATAAATTGCATTCACGTGAATTCGATTCACGTAAATATCGGGGAAATCCGTCGTTCTAACATACATCGAATTTCCAAGTAATCTACAATTCAGCTTATAGCTAATGTACTCCCCAAAGTTTCTTCTAGCCATGTCAATTTTTTCCAAAATATTTCCACTCTAACTAAACGTTAGGTGGCGACCACATTTCGGCAAAATGCTCCTCGATGCGTTTCGTTTGAGCAATACTACTCTCTACACCTCTTGCCACCAATTCTTCAGCCATGGGTCCCATAGCGGACTGTCCAAACTCTGCGAACTTGACCTTGTCCCAACTTTTGGTCTGCGCGTACAAGCGACCAGGAGATGTCAGTGGCGTACGACATACCTCTCATGGCCATATTTGAAAGTCCATTCATAGATTGAGATGAAGTCATTGAACTACCTAGCGAAATACATTCAATCGTACCAATTTGAGCAACATCCTATTCTCTCCTCGCGAAGTAAAACGGGATCAACGTTCATGTCACCGAATGAGTTCTAGCCCAGTCCTGCAAACAAAGCCATGTTTTATCAGCCATGTCAAGAAAATTTGCAGAAAGAACGCATGCATCAATCTCAACAACACTCACCCGAATTCGTCCAATGTACAGTTGGATAACGGAGACACCAGCTTGAGCCGCAACAGCCGCTTGTACAAAGCTTTAAAATAAAATCGTGAAAAATAGTCGTAAGCACGGGTCTCTTCGAGAATTGACATAGGCTTCCACTGTGACTCGGGTTATCTTGAAGAAAATGGCATTAAACATAACATTTCTCCTTTGCTACATAATTTGAAGATTGATGCAAGTACCTGTATATCAGCGTCACATGGGTCTGTATCCCTTCCTCCTCAAGGTAACGGGCTGCTTCGATTCCCTGCGACAAAATTACCCCGACACGATACATTATGTACCAGCTTGAGCGTTTTCGCCTTGCGGTATGCAGCATTCAAACCAAGATCGCTCTCAGGCTCATGCTCGGAATGTTCGTCTTAATTTGTATTGGTCGAAAAGATCAATTCAAGGGACAGTCAATCGATGAAGTGGAGTGCACCTTCATCCGATCTTTTCGGTATAGACAACCATATCGCAATGGCACAGTCCTGCCTAGCTAATAATTACTCCAGAACTAAGAGAGAGACTGTAGAACTGAGAAGTTAAAAAAAACTGATGTCTAAGAATTTACCTGCCAGGTCCCGGGAATCTTGAAGAGCAACCGATTTTTGGGAACTTCAACCTCATCATATAACGCCAAAAGCTCATGGACCTTCGTAACAATATTCATTTATCAATATTCACGAAGCAAAACAAGCTCTGCAAATTCTGCGCATTACATGATTCTCGCAGGAGTGTATACCTGGAAATGGTTTGAGAGGTTGGTCCCCGAGTGCCGATACAAATCCTCAAATCGGTCCCATTTTTACTTGTTATTGAAAACGGAAAAAAACAGAAAAAATATGTCCATCTAATCTTCCTCATCTTCCAATGTGCGAAGATACATACTATTCACAGAAACTGTTATTCAAATGCCACTCCATCTCGGACAAAAAAATTTCCCTGGCCGTACCTTCTCGATAATGCCTGGAGTATCATATGCCAATCTCGCATCAACCTCTGTAGATACTCGTCCAGGTACAAGCTTCACAAGCTCTGCTCCGACGTTCACCAAAGCCTGATCCAACACAAGCTCATGTGAGAATGACTCCTATCTTTCAGTGCGAAGCTTGTACAGCACAAATAGGTAACAAAGTTAAAAAAAAAAAAACATTGACGTTCATCCTGAGCGTCATGCGCTGCTACCGGTCGAACAATTGTACCATTGTCAGGACCCGCTAACAGGTAACTGCTCTTCATACCAAAGACACAGGTTCTATGGGTGTACTCTGTACCTTGCTGAAGAAACACGACAACCTATCCGGGGTGCTCTGAATGGTGTAGCATCGTCCGTAGGCTAAAGCACTGTCGATTGCGCTCTGCACAGCATGATTCCATATCCGAACGAACGATTGATGAGCTGAACAGATATTCACCACCTTCAACAATTCAAACAATTGTACGGTAGATCATGCACGTGAGGCGTGTGCTTACGTGATATTTCGCTCTTGGAAGGCCAGTTATGCCCAGGAGAAGTGATGCATTGACTGTCGCAGCTTGAGGGGGGAATCTGCCCGAAGAAACCAAAACCTACTATGAGAATTCAAAGCAAACAAGTCACGGCATACAAACTAATTTAAGAGCCATTACAAAGCCTCCGATATACAATGGCGAGAGACACTTATGGAAAGAAGAGCAGTTGGTTATACCTCTCAAAGTCATCGAAGATAACACTGTCAGGGACAATTTGGCTCAGATTGGAGATTGCATCTAGTTCCGTGCCTTCATCTACAGAAACGTAAGCGAGCATTATAAGTTTTTCGCACTCCGACAAAATTCCTGCATTCCTGCTTACCACCTGGAACACCATAATCAAAGTTCAAGCTAAATTTGACAAAAAATTTAGAACGTCGACCACTACGTTCGTTTCGCAAGTTTTCAATATAAACACAGTCATACGATCAAGAGAAAGCTGCCTACATGTGCTGACTTGAGCACGGTTGGGCGAGACGACTCTTTGAATGATGGATGAGGTTGGCTTGCTGCTCAATGCTAAGCGTCTCCACTTCCCAGCAGGCGTCGTGGCGAGGAAATTCGCATAAGGCTGCACCCATATCCAGCTCAGTTGAGAGAAAATCAGCTCTTAAGAAATTTAAAAAGCTCATTCTCCGTCAACGTATGCCAACGGATGTCGACACCACCTAGAAAACTGCCAACATGATGCCCTTGCTCGCGATGTGCAACCTACCGATTGAAAAATCTTACAAAACAACACCCTGGATGTCCTTCGGCTCAGACCGCCTGGTCGCAATGGCCGCAGTGAACGTGGCACTCTAAGCCCATTTCACAGACCGAAAGAGAACTAACATCTCAAATTCCAAGCCACTGCGCTAAAACTGCCGCATACGCTCGACACCAGCTGCCATCAGAGACTCACGACACAGCGCATCACACCACAATTGAGCAACGAATCCAAAGCGAAAACAAAAACCACCGAATTGGAGACGAGACAGCAAAACTTGCCTTCAAAGGCTTGGAGACGCCACCAGACGGCAAGGTCGCCGAGTTCAGAGCAATCGAAGGCTGCTGCCTCAAAGTCACGCCCTCCATCGCTCGCATGCACGTCCACGGAAGGAATCAATAATCGCTCCAAGGCCGAGCCGTGGCTCTGGCGACAAGAATGGTCCGAGAGAAAGAAGAGTAATCGAGCCTCCGCTACGCATCCACGAATGCTCTGATTCAGCGTCTCTCTCGCTCGCTGCGTTACGATCAAGATCCTCGAGCACCAGAGCAGCGTGCGTGTGCACCACGACAGAGACCGACCGAGCGATCCCCGCGGCCCGCTCCTTCCGTCCGTCCGTCAGCGGGAAGACGGAAGGACGAGACAGAACGACCGGAATAGCCGCGCGCGCAGAAGGGTGAGAAAACCGACAAGGCGGGTGAGAATGTGGAGACGACCGGCAGGGCGCTAGGTGACCGGTTGTCATGGTGTGCCGGGGCCCCCGAAAGGCTGAACGTGCGCTCGCCGTGAATCTCTGGCGGTCCGAGACCAGAGCGCCTGCGAATGCATGGCATGTCGACCAACTTGCTGCAGGCGCTGCTCCTTTTGCGGCACACATCCGGCAGCCGTACTTCCCGAGAAGGCCGGACTTGACTTCGCCTCGTGTCTTCCTCCTCCCGACTACTGTACCCACCCCGTCATCGTTACGAGCGAACGTTTGTCAACGACCGACATCCAGGATTCCGGGTACCGCCTGCTTTCCCGTCCGGGACCGGAATCCGGGTTCCCGTCGATTGGGGCGGCAGGCGAAGGGGTGGCGATTATGAGGCTCTTTACTGCAGGGCCGGATCGCTGACAGGCACCACCGCATTACCTGCCCTGATAAAGAAGAGTAATATTAGATGCAAGGACCTTCGGTCGTGAAGGAGGGGACTGCTGGTCCGAGGTTGATGAAGAAATTCCTGTGCTGAACGGTCCTGTAGTACTTGACAGTCAGCAATTAATCTGCCACCAAATCATCATCCAGAGCAGATCAGAAAGTAAAGTTTAACCTATAGAAAAAGGACAGTATTTGGAGCATCATGATCGCGATCGACAAGAGCCGAGCAGGGACTGCGGGTCCGGAACTACGGGTGTCGTTGCAGGGTCGAGGTGGACGACGAGCATGATCAAGCTAGAAGGAACGAGGGAGGGAATCCGAGCCGAGGTGCTTGTGTGGAATTAAAACTATTGTTGTTCTTTGGTGTTGCTGGAGCAAACTTATTGGCGAGCATGCGAATCTCTGCCATCCGAACGGGGCCCGGCCTGTCCCCCTGCCAACAAGAAGGCATCCTACAGTGACGTGAGAGGTGAAATACAGATCCTTTGAGATCCTGGATGTCCTCGAGGTTTCAGGACCGATATAATCGAGAATAATTTGTGTCCTGAAAACCCAAATCATTCTCGATTACTTTAAGCATGTTAATTTTGTAGACTGCCGAATGCCCGGAAGGAGTAATTGATCTCCAGGTCCCACCAGCGTGACACTAAGCAGCTCGCACATTATTCAAATGAATTCCCAGTTAATGATGAAAGGAGGATCCCGACCAGGTCTATGGAACCTCAACAAGAAAATTCACCACCGACTAGACCATTTCCTCACATTTAATGACTTGATAGAGCATTCAATTTATCAGTTGATTTGAGCTCGGCAGGGATTTTCGACGAACGATTTTTCCTGAACCCCAGAAGTTGGAATTAAAATAAAAATTGAAGTAGAAATTTCAATTTAACAACTCTAATGAACTAAATGAGTTAGTCCTCGGAACATTCACTACATAGAGATGAGCTGAAAGCTGTGACAAAAAGCCATAAACGTAGTTTGCCATGGCAGAAAACGTTAATTGCGCAGAAGTCCTTGTATGTTCAGGCTTGAGTCAGAGACTAAACGGCTAATACATAAGGTTAGATAGAGTTTTGAAACATCTTAAAAGGACGAAACAATCGTACCGCTAGTGGTAATGGACACAATTCCAACTTAACAAAAATTTTATGCAAGCAATGCGAACATTTTATTTAGTGGGGAGAAGAATACATTTCATCCAAAGGCTTTGAATCAATTTTTGAAATGTCATGACGTAGTATGTTACGAGCTAGTTCACAATATATACCGAAGATATGTAGACACGAGGTTTGAAATACAAACATTATTTACAATCTTGTAATAAGAATGATGCATTAACTAAATCAATGCTCATTTGCAAATTACTCCTTAAATATGCTAATATACATGCATTTAATCAATATCTACTCAATTTCATATGATGTATAAAACATATGAAATATAAATTCTCAACTTGAAATTTTTATTTTCATTAATAGCTAATATATACATTTTTCAAAACTAACTTTTTTCTAATGAGTAACTTACTAATATATATAATAAAAAATAACAAAATTGTAATCTCAACATGAAATGATTAGCTACAATTTCATCACTTAACCAGTGGCAATTGATAAATTGTTTACATAACAAATTGAATATATGTATATGTTTAAGTGATGAGTCATAACTTGGACATATGCCTACAAAATTAACCTATAACTAGATATCACTTTAAATTATCTGCATTGCACACGAAGAAACATAATTTTAATTAAAATTTTTGAAGATCTAATAAATCATCCAACAATTTGACAACCACAACCCAAAGTTAATCTAAATTATTGATTTCTATAAAATATCATGATGTTAGATTCTTTTGCATTCAGAAATTTTTTATATCTTTATTTTTTCAATATAATTTTTTTTGAATAAATTTAATTTATATTTAAAATTTATATGTTAAAATCAAATTTTAATTAAATATATTATTAAGTTAAAATTAACTATTGGAAATCAAATAATTTTCTTAAGTCTAAAAAAACAAATCCTAAAAGAACTAAAATCATCTTCTTAAAATATTTTTTAAAGAATTATAGTTTTTTGATTATAAATCAATAATGTCATCAAAATTTCTAATAATCAAATTTTTGAAATTCTCAAGAATGAAAGATATAAACTTAAATGCCAGAATTTGTAATAAATAATAACTATTATTCACAAAGCATTCATGAAACAACAATTAATAGAATAAAAAATTCTAAATAAGCTCAATGTTTGAAAAAATTTTGTTTGCAGGAAACAGCACTTCTCATATTAATATTTATATCATTTATAAAAAATATATAAAAACAACATCTATATGCTTTTATAAGCATATTATTTTATTTATATGAATATCATCTATATATAAATAATTCTAGCGTAATGATTAGGTTCAACATACAAAATCTTTCAAAAAAAAAACATGTGAAATAATAGTACATTAGTTTATGAGCATGTTATCAAGAAATAAAAGAAAAAATTCATATGCAAGTGCATTATATAAATAATAATGGAAGTGATTGAATATTTTTAAATACAAATGATAAATTATTATTTTTCTTGTGATATCATTTGATTGAGACATATGATGCATATAAAGTCTTAGTTCATTTATTGAAATTGATTCTTGAACTTAATATATCAAAAAATTATTATTTTTTATTTTTTATTTGACAATTAGCATCAAAATATCTTTAGAAAATAAAGATATTAATTTCATATGAAATCATGCACATATAAAATGGATGTAATGATAGCAATGTTTCTATAAAAATCATTAAATATCTTTAATGAGCACAAAAAATTGAACTCATGCATAAATTAATGTGTTATAACATAAAGTCTCATAAAGTTGTTTTTAACTTGCATAAATTTTTGCTTTATATTTATAATCAATTGAAGATTCAAACTTTTATATTTTATTCAAAAACTTGATTTTGTGTGATTTGATTTTTTGTAAAATAATGAACATTTTTAATTTATATAATTCTTAATTTAAAACTTATTAATGTAAAAATTAGATTATTTTATCAAAAAATAAATATTGCTTTGATACATTTATTGAAATGAATCTTTTGAAAATTTATATGTGACTCTTTTTGAAGATCTGAGTTTTTATAAAATTGCATATGCAATTTTAATAAATATATGTTTTAGATATTTATTATTTAAATATTTATTTATTTATCTATTTTAAGAAAAAAATTCTTTAACATTGTTTTCACAATGATGCATCAATTATATAAACATTACAAAATGAATTTTCAATAATACAAATAATACTTTTTTTTATTTACTATCTAATCATTAATTCAAGAAATATTTGAATCAACTTTACAATTAAATGTATCACATCATATAATTTATGTACAAATTTTCATCAAGCATTATCAACCATTTTTATATTGGTTAGTGGCCTAAATCAACTAAATTGGCTTAGTTTAGTCTTCTCAACGAAATTAATATATGCGGCAAGAAAATTCAATCTGAATTTAAAGTAAGATGATCGAGCTTAAGCGGCATGAAACAAAAACAAAAAACTTTTCAGCAGCAGGTGAGTAATGGTTCCACCTTCAAAGTTACTTGAGTTCAGGTTTGGAGGTGGTGTTGCATATTGGCACATTGACTGCGTGCTTATCCTCACTAGTTTTTAATTTGAACATGCAGATTTTGAAATTTTGTCTATGGTTTGGATCTATTAGGTAATCAAATTTTGGCAGAGAAGAGTTTATATGATCACAAACGGTGAACAACTTCGTCAAAGATGAAGTGAAGAATACAAGAATTTGATTTTTTTCCAATTAATTATTATTAATTGGCATTTTTAAATTATAATTAAAAAATAAGATTGAGATAGTATGTTATACCTATTTTAAAATTTTGTTGTATCAAGGGTAGTTGTATGAAGCAATTCCTTGTCATAAAACTCTCACTTTTTATGGAAAGCTAGTGAGTAGTCTAACTCATATATGTCAAAATATTTCCACATAGAAGAAAATGATAGAATTGTGTCTTTTTATTTGTATTTCTGTCCAACAAAGTTACTCTATTCATCATCTTATGAAACTACATAAGATGATGAATAAAGACTTCTATCAACAACCCTTGATACTTGGGTTCCGGGTAGACAATCCGAAATGGATTCTAGTCAACATCTGCTGATGTCAGGTTAATATTTAAAAAATGAGAATTCTATGAGACTTGCTTCGACAAATGTCGTCAGCTCAGACGTAAAATTATACTCCAAAGGAACTCAACCAGTAAGTTAGTCTTGAAATTATTGGCAACTTCTTGACCTAGATTGTTTTTTGGTCCGTATTGTGTAGCTTGTTCATACCTTAAGTGATA